ATGTTGTGCCAGTGCAGAAGCAGCAGGAGGAGGCAGATGGGGTGAGGATAGATTCGGGGAGGAAAGTACAGGACATCCTAGAGCTCGGATGGACCCCAGCATCGGTGTGCAGGAAAAGCTACAGAAGACTATACCCATGCAACCAGGTGGGGCAGGACAGACGAGCTCCGCCCACCCTGGTCGCCAATGAGGGGGCAGCCGGTTGTAAGTGGGAAGGAGAGAAGCCGAGGCCAGGCCTGGTGTATGACCACAAGAAACGGCAGTGGGAGGAGCCAACCGCGCTGGAACGGGAGCTAGCCATGGGATATGGAGAGGATGCCACGGCAGCCCTGGGAGTGAGCGAGGGAGAGAGGAGGAGGGCGCTAGGGAATGCCATGAACAGCCACATGCTGAGGTGGCTGGTTCAGCGGATGTGGCGAGAGACGGTTCCGAGCTGGGGGCACGGGGAAGAAGAGAAGGAGGCTGCGTCCGCCCTACAAGGAGCATGGAGCTGCCAGGAGGGAGAGAAAGAAAGGTGGACAATAGGAGACACGATTAGTGAGGAGGGGAAGGAAGCCACGCAACAGCTGCTGGCCAAGCACAGGAAGTGCTTCGCCTTCAACCTGCAAGAGTTGGGAAGGTGCAAGGTAAAGGAGATGGAGCTGAAGTTGAGTAGCACGGAGCCCGTGTTCCACCGAAGGAGGAAGATGCCACATGGGGATGAGGAGATTTGTAAGGAGAAGATCAAAGAGCTGCTGGAAGCGGGGCTGATTAGGCGGTTAGAGTCGGAGTACGCTACACCGACCGTGGTAGCTGCAAGAAAGGACCTGATGGGGGAAATTCTGAGCAGGAGGATGTGTGGTGATTATAGGGCACTCAACAAAATCACCATACCGGACAGGTACCCGATGCCGATGGTAGAAGAGAATTTTGATAAGCTGGCGGACGGGGTCTTGTTCACGACGCTGGACCTGCGACAAGGGTTCAATCAGATCAAGATTAGAGAGGAAGATGTCGATTAGACTGCTTTTCATGGGCCAGATGGGCTGTACGAGTGGTTGTACATGCCCTTTGATTGAGGAACGCCTTTGCTGTGTTCAGAGGGTCATGGATGCAGTCCTGTGTGGTGTGGAGTGTGGTGCATGCTACATTGACGAAGTGGTGATCTTCAGCGCCACAGAGCAACAGCACTTATAGGATGTGGAGAGGACATTGAGTGCAATAGAGGGGGTAGGACTCACCTGCCACCCGAAGAAGTGTAGGTGGGGAGAGCAGACCATACTGTACCTGGGATACGAGGAAACAGGGGGGCAGATTGGGATTCAACAGACCAAGGTCGAGGTCATGGACAAGCTGCGGGAGCCCAAGGATAAGTCGGGGCTGCAGGCAGCGCTGGGCTTCCTAAACTACTACAAGCGGTTAGTGCCCAACTTCAGCAAACAAGCCATGGTGCTGAATGGGATGCTGAGGGAGGACAGGAGAGAAGCACAGAAGGAGGCACTAAAGGAGTTGATGATAGCGGTAAAGACAGCAACAGTGCTGCAACTGTCGGCCGACTGGAGCAGCCAAGGAATGGGGGCCATACTCTGCGAGGAAGTAGAGGGGGATGAGAAAGTGGTAGCATATGCGAGCAGGAGGTGTAACTCGGCAGAGGTACAGTACATCTCATACATAGGGGAAGGATTAGCAGCAGTATGGGCTGTGGGCCACTTCAGGGTGTACCTAGAGGGCCGTGAGTTTGGTGACGGACCACCAGCCAATAACGTGGTTGATGACCACACCGAGGCTAACAGACTGGAACGCACGGTGGGCCATGAATAATACTGGAGTACGACTTCAGAATCCGGCACAGGCCCGGGAAAACCTTGCAGCACATGGACGGCCTCTCCCGCAACCCGCCACCACCAGAGCCCACGACGACACTGATCCTGCTGGCAAAGCAGGTAGAGGTGGGGGGGGGGGGGGGGGGGGGGGGGGGGGGGGGGGGGGGGGGGGGGGGGGCAAGGAAAGTCATCTGGGAGGATGAACCGGCTATCGGGTGGGTGAAGGCAGAAACGGATGAGGATGAGGAGATGACGGAGAGGGTAAGGGCAACGGGGCACCACTACAGGTAGTACCATCAGCAGCTGCAAATGCAGACGGAGGATGGGTGGAAGCTAGTGCCAGCACCAGGCGAGAGGGAGGCAGTGATACAAGAAGTGCACACCAAGCTGGGCCACTATGGGCATGAAAGGACGTGCAGCTGTTGAAGACACATTGGTGGTGGGAAGGAATGCAAATGCAGGTGAAGAAGAGGGTGGAGAGTTGTGAAGCATGCTATAGAAGCAGGGCGAACCTGATGCAAGCTAAGGCCGAGCTGCAGACGCTGCACATCCGCGGCCTGGGCTTTAGGTGGTCCCTGGATTTGGCGGGAGAGTTGCTCCGGAGTCGAGGAGGGAAACAATACATTGTGCTCATGGTGGAGCACGTGAGCAAGTGGTTAGAGGTCAGGGTGATCCCAAGCAAAAACTCAAGGCATGTAGCAACAGCGTTTAAGGAGAAAGTGCTGTGCAGATTTGGGGTGTGCGGAGAGATCCTCACGGACCAGGGGAATGAATGCCAAGGGGAGTTCAAGAAAACGCTAGAGGAGGCAGGCATAACCCACCCCGCACCTCCCGCTACCATCCTCAGAGTGACGGGTTAACTGCGCGCTTGGTGCAGACCATAAAGGGAGGATTGCGGGCATATGGGGAAAGGAGGGACTGGGATGACGAGCTGCATTGGATTGCAGCAGGGTACCAGTTTGGGAAGCAAGCAGCCCAGCAAGATCACTCATTGTACAGCCTCTTGTTCGGATGCGAGCTAGTACTGCCTGTGGGAGCTCCACGGGTCCTGACAGATACAGTAACAGCGTGCACCATAGATAACCGGATGGCACTAACTGAAGTCAGAGCAAGGTACCTGCGGGTCATGATGCCAGCAGCAGTGGAAAACCTCCCCACCGAGCAGCTGAGGGATGCGAGACGCTATGAGCAGCTGCAGCAACAGGGGTCGGGAAAGGCAAAGAAGGGAGTCAACGAGGGTCAAGAAGTGTACCTAAAACGGGCGAAGCAAGACACGCTGGATGTTGGGTTGGGGACAGAAAGTTGGAGGGTAAAGGAAGTGCGCCCATCCGGGGTGCTGGGACTGGAGAACGAGAAGGGAGCGCAGCTGAAGGAGCGTCAGACCAACACGGCAGTGATCCAAGGAGCTAAGCCTCAGCAGAGTGGTCCTGTGACCCGAGCTCAAGTTGCTCGAGCACGGACACAGGAGGGGGTAGGGAGTGGCTGAGGTGAAGCACCACACGCAAGGAAAGAAAGCAGAATGGCAACAGGAAGTAGAGCAGGTGCCGGAGGAAGGGTGTTGTACGGCACTGAGGGTACAGGCGAGACTGGTGTTGGAGATAGAGGTGTTGGAGCTGGAGGTGCTAGAGCTGGAGCCAGAGGTGCTGATTTTGAGAGTGTTGGTCGTGATGGTGCTAGAGGTGTTCCTGGGACTGGCGGTCCTGGCGTTCGTGCTGGAGGAGCTGGGTCAGGGGGTGCGTCGCAGCAGCTGCCACGTCGACCGTTCTTCTGGGAGCAACATCTGTTGTCGCTACCGCTTCCTGGGTCGGCGCTTGCGCTTGCACGCGCGCGTGTGTGTGTGTGTGTGTGTGTGTGTGTGTGTGTGTGTGTGTGTGTGTGTGTGTGTGTGTGTGTGTGTGTGTGTGTGTGTGTGTGTGTGTGTGTGTGTGTGTCTGTGTCTGTGTCTGTGTATGTGTGTGTGTGTGTGTGTGTGTGTGTGTGTGTGTGTGTGTGTGTGTGTGTGTGTGTGTGCGCGCGAGCACGCACGCGTGTGTGTGTGTGTGTGTCTGTGTGTCTGTGTGTATGTGTGTGTGTGTGCGCGTGCGCGCATGCGTGTGTGTGTGTGTGTGTGTGTGTGTGTGTGTGTGTGTGTGTGTGTGTGTGTGTGTGTGTGTGTGTGTGTGTGTGTGTGTGTGTGTGTGTGTGTGTGTGTGTGTGTGTGTGTGTGTGTGTGTGTGTGTGTGTGTATGTGTTTGTGTGCGTGCGCACGCGCACACGTCTGTGTGTGTGTGTGTGCGTGTGTGCGTGTGTGTGCGTGTGCGTGCGTGTGGGTGCGTGTGGGTGCGTGTGCGTGCGTGTGCGTGCGTGCGCGTGGGTGTGTGTGTGCCTGCGTGCGTGCGTGCGCGCGTGCGTGCGTGCGTGCGTGTGTGCGTGCGTGTGTGTGTGTGTGTGTGTGTGTGCTTGAGAGTCTCTTTGTTTGCTTGCTTATTTGACTAGTTTGCTTGCCAATTTGACTAGTTTGCTTGCCAATTTGTTGTTTTGTTTTGTTTTTCTCTCTCGCTTTTCCTTTTCCTTATCAACCCTCTTTGTGGGAACCTGTGAGACGTGCAGGCAATCTACTTTTGGCCTTTGTTCTGTAGCCGTCTTGCAATGAATGAATGGATGAAGGAAACCTAGCAATGACAACTGGAGAAGAGAACCATATGCCTTGATGACAATGCTGTGCCATCAAGAAGAAGCATGATGGTTAGTGGGGTACATTCTGAGATTCTCCGATCTGTTGTTGGTGGTTAGTACCATCTGTTACAGTATGGCTCACACATTGGCTGATCTAGCGACTGCTGCTCAGCGACGAGAGCCCGTACGGTGCTCATGCTGCTGCGGTCATCCCAGTTGCAGCAGCAACTCAAAGGTCCAAGTGGGTATTACCAACCGCTGAGTTGAGTGCTGAGATTGTGGACGGGTGAGTGGAGGGGGTGGGTTTGGAAGTGCAGCGGCTGGGAGTGGGCGAAGGCAGGGTGGGGCCTGGGATAGACGGTGATGTAGTCCCGTGGATGGGCCAGCGCGGCAAGGATGGGGCGTGGCGATGAGGGAGGGGGGAGACAACAGGCGGGGATGGGGCAGCAGGCGGCAAGGAAGGTGTGACAACGCGAATCTGCCAGTCTTTCTCCTGGCCTTGCTCATTGCTTACCCTCCACTATTTCAGCATGTGGTTTCCAATCACCACTCCCCATCATTGAGTGCAATGAACGTGTTGAAGAGCCGGCCATTGGTGGAGCGCAGCTCATTCATCAGGCGGCTCCAATTGGAGCCCAGAGTGCCGATGAACACGTCAGCCTGCGACGCTATGAGAAGGCTGGCAAAGCTGGCCGCCACGGACTGCTTGTCGTCGTACTCCCTCGTGTTGTTGGAAGAGGATGCTTGCCGCGCGTTGCTGCTGTAGAGAAACGTCCACTCGCGGTACGAGGTGAGGCTGTCAATCACAGCCTGACGTGATGGGTGTGGACATGTGGGAATACGACATCATTCACGGAGAAACCGCTAACGGTGGGAAACGGTGGGGTGAACCACTTACTTAGAAACATTCCTGCAGCTCACTGGATACACACATGTGCAGGCATGCTGCCACGTGCCTTGCATGGTGGAAGTGAAGAAAAACTAAGGCGAACAAGAGCACATGCACTCGCATGTGCACGTATGTGCTCCGGTGTGTGTGAGGGCGCTGTGCAGCACATGTGAAGGCGCTGTGCAGCACATGTGAGGGCGCCATGCAGCACATGTGAGGGCGCCATGCAGCACATGTGAGGGCGCCATGCAGCACATGTGAGGGCGCCATGCAGCAAGCACCTGGGACTCGGTGTTGATCCACGCGTGCCTGAGGTCGGGCAGCAGCAGGCGGAGCTGGTGGGCGAAGTACATGTACACGGGCAGCCCCAGCAGCCCCATCTCCTCCTCCTTGTCGCTGCCCCTCACATGCACTGCCACCAGCGGTCGCACCATGTATGCCTCATGGGCCACCTGCTCGATCAGAGGGGGGCACAAGGAGATGGAGAGGGGCAGTGGGGTTGCTTCAGCATGCTGTTCCGCATGAAATGGGATTGAGCACCTCATTCACCTCCGCAGTTGCTTTTCTCAACCCCCCTCTCCTCATCCCTCCTCTCCTCTCCTCGCCTCTCCTCTCCTCTCCTCTCCTCTTCTCTCCTCTCCTCTCCTCTCCTCGCCTCTCCTCTCGTCGCCTCTCCTCTCCTCTTCTCTCCTCTCCTCTCCTCGCCTCTCCTCTCCTCTCCTCGCCTCTCCTCTCCTCGCCTCTCCTCTCCTCGCCTCACCTCACCAGCCAGCCTGCTGACAGCCTCGGCAGCACGGCCACTGCTTCCTCCCTCCGCATCGCACCGCCTCCAACCACCACTGCCCGATTCCCCCACAGCCTCACCACCCATCCCCACGCCCTGCACCCCCTCTCCCAGTGCTGCTTGCTGGCGGTCCGGGGCAAGGGAGGGGGCCGGGGAGTGGAACGGCCAGGGTGCGCGAGCCAGTACGGCGCGCACGCCAGGCGATGCAAATGACATGCCACCCACTGCTGCCGCTTCCGCAGGCAGGCTGCCATCGCTGCTCTCGGTGCTGGCGCTGGTGCTGCTGTTCCTGCTGTTGGTGCCCGGGGTACTGTTTGTGCTGGCGGCTCTGCTGGTGCTGTTGTGAGAGGTGGCTTTGATTGCAGCGATCAAATCTGATTGGGTTTCGGCGAAGCGAGCGATTCGATTGGCGACGTGCATGCCGTAGGCGGTGTGTCTCTGTTGGTTGATGACGTGGCAGAGATGGGCTGATGGCCACCTCAGCATGAAGCGCACCGCCTGCGCCCGCCACCAGTGCACCTTCAGTGGGGGGAAGGGAGAGAGGTGGGAGGCGAATTCATGGATTGAGTGAAAACAGCTTTGAGAAATTCGCTGTTGATGTCCGCCACCTGCACCCGCCACCAGCGCACCTTAATGTCCTGGGGGGGGTGGCGGGGAGGGGTGAGAGCAAGAAAAAGAATCCGCAAGTGCACAGTTGAACAATGTGCCCCCCACCAGCGCACCTTCATGTCATTGAGAGCGGCGGAAGGAGGGGGAGGGGCGAAAACAGAAAAAGCCATTAAGCAAGCGCAGAGGCGCACCGTGTGCCTGGCAGCAGTGCAGTGCAGGTGCTGATGGCTGAGCATGGCGACGAATCAAGTGCTGTTGTGACCATGTGAGAAGCTTTTTTATGTTGTGCGCACCTGAGGGGTCCTGTCATCGTTGGCCGCGGCGCCCGGGGGGAACCACACCGTGCTGGGCCGGCCCAAGTGTGGCCGCCCCCACTGCCTGAGAGAAGAGGGAGGGAGGAAAGAGGGAAAGGGAGGGATGGCGGGATGAGGAAGGAGAGTAAGGAAGCATCTCAATGCACCACAGCAACGGTTTCCCAGCTGGGGGGTGGTGTGTGAGCAAAGCCACACAGTCAGCAGGACGGGGCGGTGTACTTGCCAGTTTCACGAATGACCTGTCCGCCATGAGGCTGGATTGGTTCGGTTCAACAGAAAAGGCCCCGCCCTCGCTTGGGCAAAGTCGGCCATGCTTTTCGGAGCACAACGGTGTTCATTTCGTGGTCATCGGCGACTTCGGGAACTTCTATCTGGGACTCTAATCTCTGTGCGACGGGTCGATTTTCGACGAAATTAATTCGTCGAAATTGAAGTGTTGTTTCTGCTCCACGCAACTGCACGTCGACGAGGCACTTGTCGACGTGAGGAAATCGGCGTCGAAATCCAGCCTCGCGGGTCGACGGAATTGAAGAAAACAAAGTTTAGACAGAATTAAAGCTCGCGGCCCAAATTGCGGGGCGCGCTGGCCAAGCTTACTAAGGTTGACGGGGGTGATGTTTTGAGTGCTGTTTGGGTTGCGAAGGGTGGTTACGAGAAGTGAGATGCAATCTGATTGGCCAGTATTTTTTTGTCGAATGGGAGAGCAGGGAACAACAATATGTTGATTGCAATTTGGGACTCTCGAAGCAAACCCAGGTTGCTCCCAGGGGTTTGCCGTGTCAACGAAAACCCCAAGGGTCTAGCGCGAAACTGGGCGAAAGGAAACAGCCCAACTCCCAACAAGTCAACTTCTTCTCCCACCACCCAAAGGTCAACCTTACTAAGGTTGAACAATTTGGGCCGCGAGCTTTAAGCTCGAAAGAGGCATTGTCGAGCAGAGCGATTCTGGTCGTCCGAAATTACTTGTCTCCGAATTTTGCAATGTGCACGAATTTCGACAAATCGCGAAACAACAAATTTCGACCAATCAGAGCATTTCGAAAATTGTACTCCCCATGAAATTTCGAATCAGTAAGGAATCTGAACCTGAGGCATGTTTTTACTAACAGTAAAACCGCAAATAACTCTGAAAGTTGTAAACCTGAGAAACTGCCAATTCAGGTGAAAGACATGTGCTTGTCGTTTCACTTGCCATTTCTGACTCGGCAAAGGTGTTAGCTTGTCGAGGTACGTTTCTCCAGGGTTTTTTGTCTTTGCTATTTGGTTCTCCTTCCATGTACCATAATCTTGTTCTATCAAAAAATTGTAGTGAAATTATGCTTGAATTCTACCAAGGCATTCCAACACTCTGTCAAGAATCATTGCCAGAAATCTGACTGTGCGTCCCACGCAATTCAGCTCTCCCTTAAAAAAACATTCTCCATAGACGCGCCTCGGCTATATAAGGCCAACTCAACCAACTGTTTCGATTCGAACTGCAGTTGGTTCAAGCTGATCAGTTTTGGCTTCAAAACAAACGAACGAAGTCCAACCGGTTCAATTTGAGGTCCAATACTATGCACGTGTGTACTCACACATGCACTCCCCCATCCCATACACTCCCCAATCCCATGCACTCCCCCATCCCATACACTCCCCAATCCCATGCACTCCCCCATCCCATGCAGTCATGCACGCACAGGGCAATGCTGGCCTCGTGCTCGAGCTCGAGGTACGGCATGCCCTCCAGTCGTGAATGCACCTCCCCAATGCACTCACTCACGCACTCACTCACGCACTCACTCACGCACTCACGCACTCACTCACGCATGCACTCGTGCCCCGCTGCCCACGCACTCCCCCACGCACTCCCCCACGCACAGGGCAGCGGAGGCCTCGTGGTCGAGGTCGAGGTACGGCATGCCCTCCACGCCCACCACGCGGTGCTGCGATGCACACAGCGCCCCCACGCCTTCCTTGCCCCACACCACGTTGTTGGCGTCCTTGGCAGCCATCACCACGTGCTCACAGTCCGGCGCCACGATCGGGAAGAAGTAGCAGTCCCACTGCCCTGCCTTGCCCATGTCTGGGCCAAGAGGATGGTGAGGGCGGAGGAGAGGCACCGCTGATGACTTTTGAGTCGACTCAAAAGGTTTCATTCCCTTGCGAGTGATCTGGGGCAAGAGCAGATAGATGTACAGCAAGAAGCTATGGATGGTCACGGGATGGGTACGAGAAGTGCAGCAGCGAGCACGACGCGTGGGATAGCAATGGAGTGGAGAGGCAGTGTGATGGGTGTGGGGTGGGCGGACGGACATGAAGCAAGGGAGTTGAGGGTGATAGGCATGGGCGTGCATGTCAATGGGGATGACAGAGTGGTGAGCACTGCGCATGACTATGTTGTGACCGCGCCTCACCTGCGCACTGGTCCGTGTAAGCGCGGTTGTAGTTCAAAGGGTCGGGCACGAGTGTGCGATTGTGGCGCATGGCTATGCTGAGGAATGACGTCATCACATGCACCTGTGCATGCATGTGCGCATGGAGGGGAGGGAGGAGAGCACTCATCACATCACATGCACCTGTGAGTGGGAGCATGGAGGGGAGGGAGGAGAGCACTCATCACATCACATCACATGCACCTGTCAGTGTGTCCCCCTGTCCGCCTTCCCACACACACACTCACAAGCACGCGCGTACCTGCGACCCCACCCCATGCTGGAAGTCGGGCGGCCACGACACCACCAGCAGGCGCCTGTCCGCACAAGTGCCGCCTGGGAACTGGTTCGCCCAAATGTCCCTCTGCACGACACGTGTCATCGCCAGATTGGCCACGTCCGTCCCGCGAACCTGCATGGTGACGGGGGGTTGGGTGTAGGGATGGGCAGCAGGGGGGAGGGGGGGGGGGGGGGGTTGAGTCGGTTTAAAATCGCGATGGGTAACAGAGGGTTGGGTGGGGGAGGAGGGGGGAGTGATGGCGGGATGGCAAAGGAGGGAGGCAGGAACATCAGAGGTGGTGGGAGGGTGACAAAGGCGGAAGGGGAGGGTGGGGGAGGGGAAAGGGGAGGTGGGCAGGGTACCAAGTGGCGTACCCAAGGGGGGTGAGGCGAGGGGTTGCACGAGTCTAGGGGCTCCGCCCATAGGGGGAGCTCCCCCCCTTCCCCCCGCTGCTCCGCCTGCTGGCGCAGCGCTGTGAGCGCGGTGCAGTCCTCGAGATGAGGGGCGGGGGGGAGGGAGGGCGGAAGGGAGAGGGGCGAGGGCGGAAGCAGCGAGTCGGCGGAGAGCCCGTAGGCGTCCGCCCAGGCCTGCGGGAAGGAGAAGGGTAGGTGGGGAAGCGGGAGGAGAGAGCGGGGGAGGACCGATGGCAGAGGAGGGGAATGGAACGGAAGGGAGGAGAGGGGAAAGGGGAAACGTAAGAGTGGGAGGGCGGACGATAAATTTTCGCGCCATCACTTGGGCAAGGCAAGTGGCAACGAGGACACGGGGAACGATGCACAGGGAGGGGGAAGAACGCGAGGGGGTACTCAACACGGTACAGCGAGAGGACGTGCTCGGGGCCCGCCTCTCCGCCCACGGAGAATTCGCGCAACCCCGCCGCCAGACCACGCGGAGCCGTGCGCGCCACCACCAGCAGCACGAGAAGCGCCGCCGCGAGAAGCCGCAGCCACGACTGTGGTGCTGACGGCGGGAGGGCGCGCGCCGCCAGGCGGGACGCCATGCGCGCAGCGACGCGTTCCGCCGCCACGGCAGGCGGGTGGCTCTGCGCGGGTGACTATGCGCGGGTGGCTCTGCGCGGGTGACTCTGCGCGGGTGGCTCTGCGCGGGTGACGCGGGCAGCGGCGGACACGCGCGAGGCGTTCCAGCGTGCCGTCACCGTAACGAGCGCACGGGCATCAGGCGCATGTGGATGGGGAAGGGCGCAACCGCAGCGGGGTGGTTGCACGACCGTGGCATAGAAGCACGGTCCGCACAGCGCGCTTGGGAAAGAGTGGACGAATGTTTTCTTGGCTTGCTCGGAATGCAGAGGATCCGAACGTCACTAAATGCGCAAATCTCGATACATGCTAAAGTGATGATTTGTACACCCAGCGAAAAACGCTCTGCAGTATGTCCACCATTTGTTTTATCAGACTGTTACTCATTCCGTCCAGTTGGCACCTCATTTTGTTTTGTTGATATCACCGTTGCGTATTGTTTTGGCGCGTATTGATATGGGCTGAGCGCACCTGATTTGAATGTCTGTGGACGGGAAAATTAGTGGCTGCGGAAATGATGGCTGGCGGAAGGTGGGAAGGGGATGGGCAGAGGCCCAGTGGGTGAGAGAGACAAGTGCCGGTAGGCGATGTGCACTGACAGGTGAGGAGTGGCTGACAGGTGAGGAGTGGCTGACAGGTGAGGAGTGGCTGACAGGTGAGGAGTGGCTGACAGGTGAGGAGTGGCTGACAGGTGAGGAGTGGCTGACAGGTGAGGAGTGGCTGACAGGTGAGGAGTGGCTGACAGGTGAGGAGTGGCTGACAGGTGAGGAGTGGCTGACAGGTGAGGAGTGGCTGACAGGTGAGGAGTGGCTGACAGGTGAGGAGTGGCTGACAGGTGAGGAGTGGCTGACAGGTGAGGAGTGGCTGACAGGTGAGGAGTGGCTGACAGGTGAGGAGTGGCTGACAGGTGAGGAGTGGCTGACAGGTGAGGAGTGGCTGACAGGTGAGGAGTGGCTGACAGGTGAGGAGTGGCTGACAGGTGAGGAGTGGCTGACAGGTGAGGAGTGGCTGACAGGTGAGGAGTGGCTGACAGGTGAGGAGTGGCTGACAGGTGAGGAGTGGCTGACAGGTGAGGAGTGGCTGACAGGTGTGGAGTGGCTGACAGGTGAGGAGTGGCTGACAGGTGAGGAGTGGCTGACAGGTGTGGAGTGGCTGACAGGTTAGGAGGAGTGGCTGACAGGTGTGGAGGAGTGGCTGACAGGTGAGGAGGAGTGGCTGACAGGTGAGGAGGAGTGGCTGACAGGTGAGGAGGAGTGGCTGACAGGTGAGGAGGAGTGGCTGACAGGTGAGGAGGAGTGGCTGACAGGTGTGGAGGAGTGGCTGACAGGTGTGGAGGAGTGGCTGACAGGTGTGGAGGAGTGGCTGACAGGTGTGGAGGAGTGGCTGACAGGTGTGGAGGAGTGGCTGACAGGTGTGGAGGAGTGGCTGACAGGTGTGGAGGAGTGGCTGACAGGTGTGGAGGAGTGGCTGACAGGTGTGGAGGAGTGGCTGACAGGTGTGGAGGAGTGGCTGACAGGTGTGGAGGAGTGGCTGACAGGTGTGGAGGAGTGGCTGACAGGTGTGGAGGAGTGGCTGACAGGTGTGGAGGAGTGGCTGACAGGTGTGGAGGAGTGGCTGACAGGTGTGGAGGAGTGGCTGACAGGTGTGGAGGAGTGGCTGACAGGTGTGGAGGAGTGGCTGACAGGTGTGGAGGAGTGGCTGACAGGTGTGGAGGAGTGGCTGACAGGTGTGGAGGAGTGGCTGACAGGTGTGGAGGAGTGGCTGACAGGTGTGGAGGAGTGGCTGACAGGTGTGGAGGAGTGGCTGACAGGTGTGGAGGAGTGCGGAGACACACGAGCGAGCAATGATGGCAGAAGTGGGAGAGGAACGGCAGCAGCAGGAGGGAGGGTTGAGCAAGACTGCAAGGGGGGCTGGTGGAGTGGAGTGTAGGATGGGAGGAGTCTGGAGGCTGAGAGGCGCGAGTCAGACGACCGTAGGGTTGAGGGATGGCGGGGAGAGCGGGGCTGGGGTAGGAGGGAGATGATGGGTGGGCAGGAAGCGGCATAAATGCATCCAAGGCAAGCCATGGCATGTGTGGGAAAGTAACGGATGCACATGCATGCACACGGGAGAGGGGATGGCACGGTGCAGAACAAGGGAGAGAAGCAGCAAGTCGGACACATTGCGGAGCACAGATGCCACAGTGCTGCAGGGGAGCAGCCGGCTATACATTAAACCTATTCAAAAAATCAGGGTCCATTTTCGCTTTATCCTGAAACTTTTTGAACCAGCGGTCGAGAATATCGGAGGGGACGAGCAGCATGGAACCCTGCACGGTGCTGAACGACTGCATGTAGTTGAACAGGTTCTGCCCCACCTTCAGCGCCATCTCCTCCACCCGCCGCTGCCACCCCACGCTCTGCAGCGGCAGCGATGCTAGAGGCTCCACCGAAATGCCGATCTGCGCCGTCGGGGGGACGCCGCCGGGCGGCAAGGCCGGCAGGACGGCGCCGGTAGGGGCGACGGCGGGCGGCCAGAGGAGGGGGAGGACGGCGGAGGGGCAGCCGAGGTGGACGGCGCCGCGGTACTCGAAGGGCGAGCCGGGCGCCTGCACGTACACGGCGAGCGCCTGGCCTGGCGGCAGGGCCGCCTCGTTGAGCAGAAAGATGCATATCTCCTTCACCTGGTCATACGCGTCGCCTGCCACGTGGATTGACAGGACATGTGGCGCAAAGGATCATGCTTGATTGAGGGACCGGCGTAGGTAGAGGAAGCTGCTAACTGCGGGTGTCCTGCTGAGACACTATAAGGGTATTAAAGTAAAAAAAAAAGCTTGATGGCCTACTTATTGAAAAGCTTACCTACAAACATGTTCATCTCGAGCACCCAATGGAAGGTGTCGACCTGCTTGAAACGCGACACGTCCAAAGGGAAACTGCGATTGGGGAAGAGCACCCCGAACATGGCCGCGCGCACTTGAGTGTCACGGCGAGGCGCGGCGCGAAAGCAAGGCACGGAGAGTGGCGATCACGAGACGGAATCGATGTCAGTGGTCGAGGTGCGGCCTGGCTCGAGATGAGCGGGCGTGGGGCTAATCGGCAGAAGTCGCAGCGACAGGCGCGGATGGGCGTCGGTGCGAGGAGTATACACTATGGCGGCCTAACAAGATTGTTTCTGACGCGGTGATTTGAATGAAGTGAATTCATTCAATAAATGAATTGGCACATAGATGACTGAAAGTTCGTCCACGAGCTTTTCATGAATGTTCAGGCTGCGCAGTAGCGCGGTTTAGAGTGGTGAAGTGAGGAACCTGCTCAGGATTGCACATTATCGTACTCAACCACTTGAAGCAGGGGACTTTGGGACCTTCGGGATGAGGCGATCCAGCAGCACCAAGTGGTTGCTGGTGGTTCTACCGCAATGAAGATTGCGAAATCACAAGCAACAGATGACTCGCTTAGACAACTTTCGTGCACCTTCGCGATGCTTCGTGAATGATCCTTCAACTTCCAGAGAAACGCATATTGGATACGAATTGATCGTGATTTCCAAAACGAACGGGGAAGGAAGCACAGATCCGCACCGCGTACTGTACAAGCCCTCCTCGTTTCATTTCCCATTGCAATTTCGTCACGTAGCTGCCATTATTGAATGGTTTTCGCTGGTAACTTTCAGATCCCACACGATCGCCTGACCCACTTGCTTCGCTGCACAGGGCGCCGCATAAAGCGGCGCACCTTTCACGCAGCCGCCATGCACAGAAACACCGCGCGTCACACGCCGCACGGCGATGGGCCTCCGCATCGCCCGAAAGCGTCGCCAACAACCTTCACAATACCGTCGCCGCTCTGCCTCTGCATTTGCGCATGTGCCGCCGTGCAACTCGCGAGCGCGGTGGCGGGCGAGGCGGGCGCAATGGAGCACGGCATGTCGCTGTTCCGCGCGTGGACCGCCGCGTACGGCCTCGCGGACGACCCGCGCTCTGCGCTCCCCCCCTCCCCACTCGCACTCCCCGCGAACGTTCCGCCAGCCCCGCACCTGGAGGACTGCGCGCAGGCGTCGTTCTACCGCTTCATCGCGGAGGACCGGAGCGGAGGGGGAGGCGGAGGGGAAGGGGAGGGGGGTTTGCCGAAATGGGCGGTGCAGCCCTCTTGCTGCCACTGCTCGCCACAGACACCCTGGGTATAGTCACAGACACCCTGGGTATAGTCACAGACACCCTGGGTATAGTCACAGACACCCTGGGTATAGTCACAGACACCCTGGGTATAGTCACAGACACCGTGGGTATAGTCACAGACACCCTGGGTATAGTCACAGACACCCTGGGTATAGTCACAGACACCCTGGGTATAGTCACAGACACCGTGGGTATAGTCACACTCCAGTTTCTCCATCCCAGGCTCTACTCACAGCGCCACAGCCCTCCTGCCACAGCGCTGCTTGATCCGAGCCGTGCCGCTCTGCACCGTGCTACACCGCACCTGTCAGCTCCTGCCTTGCTCCTCCTTTCTCCAGTTTCTGCACTTCCCTCCGTTCCTCTCTCCGCCCTGTCTCTCCTCTGTGCTTGCTGCCCTACTCTCCTCGTGCCGTTCCTCCTCTGCTCGGAGCGCACTACCCCTCCCATTGCCCTCATGCCCCATCCCGACCACACAGCAGCACCCTCGTCACCTTCTGCCTGCCCCTCCCTGCCGTCCCTCCCTGCCGTCCCTCCCTGCCGTCCCTCCCTGCCGTCCCTCCCTGCCGTCCCTCCCTGCCGTCCCTCCCTGCCGTCCCTCCCTGCCGTCCCTCCCTGCCGTCCCTCCCTGCCGTCCCTCCCTGCCGTCCCTCCCTGCCGTCCCTCCCTGCTGCCCCTCCCTGCGCGCCTCTGCCCCCTGGTGGCGGCATGGCATGTGCCCTCACCCCATGGCAAGTGCCCTCACCCCATGGCAAGTGCCCTCACCCCATGGCATGTGCCCTCACCCCATGGCATGTGCCCTCACCCCATGGCAAGTGCCCTCACCCCATGGCATGTCCCCTCACCCCATGGCAAGTGCCCTCACCCCATGGCATGTCCCCTCACCCCATGGCATGTGCCCTCACCCCATGGCATGTGCCCTCACCCCATGGCATGTCCCCTCACCCCATGGCATGTGCCCTCACCCCATGGCATGTGCCCTCACCCCATGGCATGTCCCCTCACCTCACCCCATGGCATGTCCCCTCACCCTATGGCATGGCAGGTGCGCGGCTCAGATGCTGACAGCCTGGCGCACACAAGGGAGGCACAAAGGGACATATGGACCAATCAGATGCCGCCACGTGGCTGCCAGGACAGGCGCCTGCTGGTTGCGCCTTGGCCTGACGCCTCTCGCTTCTCCCTTGCACGTCAGGTGCCTCTCCACTCTCCACCTGCCCTCAGGTGCCTCTCCACCTGCCCTCAGGTGCCTCTCCACCTGCCCTCAGGTGCCTCTCCACCTGCCCTCAGGTGCCTCTCCACCTGCCCTCAGGTGCCTCTCCACCTGCCCTCAGGTGCTCCTCTATTGTGTTGACGTGTGTCTCAGCCGCACTCCATGTGCTTTTCTGGTGTGTGCGCGCTCATCATGTGCTGCTATCATGCCATCCCATCCGCGTCCCCATGCACCCTTTCCACCTCGCCCTCCATCCACCGCACCTCGCCTTCTTCCTTCCTCATCCCATCTCCCTAACTCCTCTGTCCCCTCACCCCCATCCACCTCCCCCTCAACCCCACCGCCCTCGCCCCTCAAGCCCATCCAAATACAATCCTATAGGATGCATTCACAAATTGATTCGCACTACCGAGTCACGACACTCTGAATATCTTTTTGGTAACTCAACCCCTTAGAAATGAACCTTGCCGTGAAAACTCAGAGATTGATTGCGATGCGGGATTGGGCGGCGAGCGAATTCGATCATGGGGCTGTAATTTCGTCGGCGTGGTTGGCGACGTCAGCGAGGCGTCGGAACTTGGGTGTTGTGCGTTTCGTATTTTTTGCACGAGGGTTTGACTTGGGCTGCGTGTCGGAACCTTGTGGCGCAACTGCAGTAGGGGGAGGTTGAGCAATTGGAAGTGTGGGTGCGGTGGCGGTTCACTCCGCCCACCTGCTCTGTGCTTGGCAGCCTGTCATACCCACCATCCTCGCCCCTCACTCCTCCTCACCACCCGCACCCTGCATGCCCCTCACCACAACCCCATCCCCATCGCCCCCCATCCCCATCGCCCCCCATCCCCATCGCCCCCCATCCCCATCGCCCCCATCCCCATCGCCCCCATCCCCATCGCTCCCATCCCCATCGCCCCCATCCCCATCGCCCCCATCCCCATCGCCTCCATCCCCATCGCCCCCATCCCCATCGCCCCCATCCCCATCGCCCCCATCCCAATCGCCCCCATCCCCATCGCCCCCATCCCCATCGCCCCCATCCCCATCGCCCCCATCCCCATCGCCCTCATCCCCATCGCCCCCATCCCCATCGCCCCCATCCCCATCGCTCCCATCCCCATCGCCCCCATCCCCATCGCCCCCATCCCCATCGCCCCCATCCCCATCGCTCCCATCCCCATCGCCCTCAGCTGCACGGAATGGCGGCGCTGCTCGCCCTCGCCATGCTCCACAACAGAACCCTCGTGCCACTTCCAGGAACCTTCCAGCCAGCCAACAACCAGGTGTGCAGAGGTGCGTGTTTGACAGCTGGGCACCGTTGACAGCTGGGCACCGTTGACAGCTGGGCACCGTTGACAGGTGGGCACCGTTGACAGCTGGGCACCGTTGACAGCTGGGCACCGTTGACAGGTGGGCACCGTTGACAGCTGGGCACCGTTGACAGGTGGGCACCGTTGACAGGTGGGCACCGTTGACAGGTGGGCACCGTTGACAGCTGGGCACCGTTGACAGGTGGGCACCGTTGACAGTGCAGGCAGCACGTGTGGGTGGGCGCCATGCATGCGACCGTACGTCCCCAAGTCATCATGTGAGTGTTTGACAACTTCAATCGAAGCAGTAGTTCCGTGAAAGTGCAGAAAATGAAAGGATCAAAACTTTTTGGGAACGTGCTTGTGCTTGAAGGGGCACTAGCCCCAATCACTAGGCAGGTTAGGGCTACTGCCTTCCGAAACGCATCCCATTCTCTAAGCTTAGAAGCTTATTCCCCCCCCCCCCCCCCCCGATTCCGATACTGTTCATCCCTGTGCCGCCTGTTCATCCCTGTGCCGCCTGTTCATCCGTGTGGCGTCCCTGGCTCGTATGGATTTCCGAAAGCCTGGCCCCGCTCCTCACAATGGCTCTAGTGTGTCCTCTTCACATCACACACAATCTACTCATGGCATGAGGTTGTGTTCTTGTATATCCTGGCGTTGGATGGCATGGATTGGAATAATATGGCATGGCATGGCATGGCATGGCATGGCATGGCAGAGTTCCAGCCAATGGGCGGCATGGGCAGCGATGGTAGCGTGGGCGACTGGGGCTGCTTCTTCTTCCCCATCGCCTCCCCTCACTGCTCTGCTGACATCAGCGCTGCTATGGCAGCCAGTCGCATGCCGCCATGTCAAAGCGACACCTCTCAGTTCGAGCAGCTGGCCACGTCAGCAGATAGGGTGGTGTGTTTGGATGTGTCTGACGTGGACCAATCCAGCAGTGCTGCTCTCTCATCGGTGGAGGCCCGAGTAACCAAAATGTACGTGTTTGATCTCTGTAGCTTATGTGCTATACTTGTATATGGTGTATGTATTGTAGTGACACAGGAGTTCTATTCCATCCATGCTGCCTGTGCTCACTGATTGGCGCTGCGCTGCCTTGCTTCTCTGCGTGCCTGCTCACACTACCGTGCCCCTCTCTATCTCTCCCCCATACCCCCTCATCCCATCCTGCTCACCCACCCCCCTGTACCCCCTGTGCCTCTTCGCCCCGTGGCCTGCCTTTTCTCCCGCCAGCTGGGGAAGGCCGCATCTGGAGCAGCAGGCACAGAGGGAGTATCTGGGGGAGGTGCCACCCACAGATGATTTCAGACAGCAGGTACGTGGGGCACGGAAACGAGCATTCTGTGAGTTGTGGAAAACGATTACTGGTGAAAAACGGTGACTGGTGATGAATGGTGCTGAGCGGTGACGGTTCCTTGGGCATGCAAGTGCCGGTGTGCTACTTGCAAAGCATCCGTGTGTCTGAGTGGTGGAGTCCTCCCACTTGCTGTTGATCCATGCCGCTCCATCCACCCCTCCTGTCTACCCTGGCAACGAGGCCACCTTTGCGCGGCACAATGAAGGGCACCGCTGGTGGGCACCGCTGGTGGGCACCGCTGGTGGGCACCGCTGGTGGGCACCGCTGGTGGGCACCGCTGGTGGGCACCGCTGGTGGGCACCGCTGGTGGGCACCGCTGGTGGGCACCGCTGGTGGGCACCGCTGGTGGGCACCGCTGGTGGGCACCGCTGGTGGGCACCGCTGGTGGGCACCGCTGGTGGGCACCGCTGGTGGGCACCGCTGGTGGGCACCGCTGGTGGGCACCGCTGGTGGGCACCGCTGGTGGGCACCGCTGGTGGGGCACCGCTGGTGGGCACCGCTGGTGGGCACCGCTGGTGGGCACCGCTGGTGGGCACCGCTGGTGGGCACCGCTGGTGGGCACCGCTGGTGGGCACCGCTGGTGGGCACCGCTGGTGGGCTGTTGATAAGCAATGAGTTGTCCTCATGCTTGCCCACCATGTGCACTGCTGGCCTGGCAGGCACCGTGCACCTGTGCAGTCTCCTTACTCTTGCTTTTGTCTTGGCCCCTCTACCTCCCAACTCCCAAGCAACGTGCACTGGTGGCGGGCATGGGGTGCCCTGCCCATTTATTCTGCCTTCCCCCTCGCCTCGCCCCCTCCCTCAGCTGCACTGGTGGCGGGCGCAGGCGGTGCGCTTCATGCTGAGGTGGCCATCAGCCCATCTCTGCCACGTCATCAACCAACAGAGACACACCGCCTATGGCATGCACGTGGCCAATCACATTGCTTCCCTCCCAGCCATCTACGCCTCCATCCTCCAATCAGTAGCTGCCACCTCAGCAGGCCCAGCCGCCGCCCAGAACCTCCCCTTGTCAGCTGAAGCATCAGATCTTTCAACGCTAGATCTGATTCCGGGATCAAATCCCGACTCACAGCCAAGGGCGAGCAGCATGGGGGTGGGATTGGAGGCGCGAGTGTGGGGAGCGAGGGGGTTCGACAGGTGCAGTGAGCGGTGCAGAGGGGTGGGGATGGGCGAGTATGGTCGAGTAGGAGGGGAGCCGCTGTTTGTGGTGCGACCCATGGTGGGCGTGGTGATGGGGGGGAGTGGGGGCACGGGGGTTGGTGGAGGAGGACGAGGGGAGGAAGGAAGAGGAGGAAGAGGTGTGCTGACGTCATCAGGGATGGGAGTGGGAGTGCATGTGATGGCAGCGAGTGTGCTGCGGCTGAGCGATGTGGACGTGAGGCACATGTGGGTCAGCTGGCATGCGCAGGTGAGGCACATGTGGGTCAGCTGGCATGCGCAGGTGAGGCACATGTGGGTCAGCTGGCATGCGCAGGTGAGGCACATGTGGGTCAGCTGGCATGCGCAGGTGAGGCACATGTGGGTCAGCTGGCATGCGCAGTTGAGGCACATGTGGGTCAGCTGGCATGCGCAGGTGAGGCACATGTGGGTCAGCTGGCATGCGCAGGTGAGGCACATGTGGGTCAGCTGGCATGCGCAGGTGAGGCACATGTGGGTCAGCTGCATGCGCAGGTGAGGCACATGTGGGTCAGCTGGCATGCGCAGGTGAGGCACATGTGGGTCAGCTGGCATGCGCAGGTGAGGCACATGTGGGTCAGCTTGCATGCGCAGGTGAGGCACATGTGGGTCAGCTGGCATGCGCAGGTGAGGCACATGTGGGTCAGCTGGCATGCGCAGGTGAGGCACATGTGGGTCAGCTGGCATGCGTAGGTGAGGGTGAGGGTGAGGGTGCACATGGCACTGGCAAAGCTGGGTGTGGTGTGGGCATTGTAATTTGGGGCGTAGGTATTGTAGTGAGGGCCATGGGCGAGAGCGAGAGAGGAGTGTGGCTGCAGTGTTCTGGCTTCAGCATGCTCATTCCACACAAGAATTCACTTCTCATTCTGCTCCTCCCTTCCTTCCCAACCTTCCCCTTCCTACTCCCATCTCTCCCCTGCCCAGCTGCCACCGCCCAACACCATGCACCTGCCCGACTGGACCCTCTACATGCCCTCGCCCTCGCCCCCACCCACCCTCCCCTCCTCGCCATCCACCCCACACCACCTCCTCCAGCAGCAAGCACCACCTGCCCCTGCTGCCGGCACAGCAGCGCTGTCCTCTTCCCCTGCTTCTGAGAGCGCTGCAGCTGCAATAGGGCCGGCTGCCCCTGCGGCCGGTGCAGGCAGCACAGTGGGTGGTGGTGAGAGTGGTGGGAGCGAGGGTGCCGGAGGAGGGAGTATGGACGGGGCAGTGGAGGCGGGAGGAGATGGGTGGGGGGATGGGGAGCGGATGGCACGGCTGGTGGTGGCGGCGCAGTGCGATGCGTTCGTGGGCATGCATGGGGATGAGTGGGCTGAGCTTTTGGATGAGATGAGGTGCACTGGGGGTAGAAGACAGTCGCGGTTCGTGTTCATTAATGTTCCATGATGCGTACCGTGTGGTGAGATGAGATGAGAAGTGTATTGTTTTGTATATGCTGTATTAAGCAATGCCGTATCTCTGCGTGCCCATGCAAGGCAGCACTGTGCGTGCCCATGCAAGGCAGCATTATGCTGGGTGCTTGGCATCAACCCGTATGCAACCACATCATCCACTCCATTCTGTGGGGGAGACTCCTGCTGTGGCACACAAGTGGTAGGAACATTCACCATACTGAATGTATCAATGTCATAAATCACATCAATTTCATAAATCCACAACCCCATTGTTCGGCCCACTAGCTCATCCCACTCAGCACTGGCAATGGGTACTGCGTTCACAGGGTCACACCCATCACATCACCATGTTCATGGCCGACATATTCAAACAACCCTGGGACAGACATGTAGGTAATCTGAGCTCAGGAGAGCACAAAAGTCATACCGATCAGATCAGTTTCGTCTTATATCGCGAACCCTGGTTTGGAAACACGAAATTTGACTTTCAAGTTTTGGCGCTGACAAAGCGGAATACGCGGCGCCGTATTGCATTCGAAGACACATTCCATGTGAGGTAGATTGCATGCACCTCAGTGCGAAATCCGTCACCGGTTCACAAGCATCCTTAGAGAATAGCATCCTTGTGATGGTGTTTGTGACAATCTTACAGTTCAACTGTCGGTGCAAGAACGCGTCTCTGGGTTTTTCTTCTCCCTCTGGATGTTCAGTTCTCCCTTCGCGACCTTGCTTTTCACGCCATGCGCTTTATCCGCAAGCTCAACACACAAGAACGAAACACTTGCAAAACAGAGTAGCTTTGATGACTGGTAGGCTGGAAACTTGGCTGGAAAAGCTCAACAGAGCTGCTGGACTTGGCTTGATGAGAGAAAACTTCACTATGATCAAGATTAACAAGCCCACTAAAGCACAACTTCTTAAGCATTACAAACATGCAGATTGATAGCTCAAACTAGGCTGCTAGACAAGGCAACTTCCTTGGGAACTTGGGCACAATTCAGATTCCATGAACCTTGAGTGACTTGAGAGCCACATGAGGTGCATGAATAAGAAATCTCTGGAATGTACTGTTATAGCTCATTCTGTTTTGTAGAAACCTGTAGAAACTGTCGACCCTTCTGTTTGAGAGCAATCCCGAACTGTATCGAGTCTTCGGCTGCAATCTGATTTTGCTGCGGAAGTTTCTGATTTTTCGCAAAGCCTTCAATCCGTCGCCGACATTCTTGCTGCTCCTTGTGTGCAAAGGGCTGGGGCGGCAGAGACTCGATTCTCCAACACTCCCCCTCGCACCAGACCCGAAGCACACATACGCCCATTCTTACTCTCCTCTTACATCTCCTTGGCATACACTCCATGCTGCTGCCCATGTTGCTTCTCCTCATTCTCCTCAAACTGCTGCACTGCTTCATGAAGTGTCATGAGACCTGCTCTTGCCTTGCACATGTTGAATGCATCATGTGGAAGAACCTTAGTCATGAAATCTGCCGCTTGGTCGAATGAACGGCAAAAGTTGACGGCGAGAACTCCCTTCTCTAGTTGCTCACGAATGAAATGGTACTGCACCTCGATGTGTTTTGTACGCCCATGATGAACCGGATTCTTGGAGAGGGCGATAGCTGAAGTGTTGTCCACGTAGAGCGGAGTTGGTTGAGTTTGCGGCTGCCTCAAGTCCTCCAAGAGTCCACGTAACCAAATTGCCTCCCTTGCTCCTTCGGTCATTGCCATGTACTCAGCTTCGGTTGTAGAAAGCGCCACACAACTTTGCTTGCGCGATTGCCAAGAAACAGCGGCACCGCACATAAGGAAGATATAGCCACCGGTGGACTTGCGTGTGCTCAAATCTCCCGCCCAATCTGCATTGGTAAAGCCTTGGAGGGAGCTTGCATGTGGGCTGGCTTGGAAGAGAAGACCATGATTAGAAGTACCTTTGAGATACCGAATAGCTCGCTTGGCTGCATGCATATGGATAGGTGATGGGGCACTCATGTGTTGAGCGAGCTTGGATACCGTGAATGCTAGGTCGGGCCTTGTGCATAGGGCTGCATACATGAGACACCCAACCTGACTTTGGTAGAGAGCTAGGTCTTGTGGGGATACCTTGGGTGAATTCTCACCATGATGCTCACTCTCCTCAAGACACAACTCCTCAATACCCGTGATATCCAGGCTTGACTCTCTCTCCTCAAAGGGCTGATGTGAAGACAAAGGGACAAAGTTGGTAGGAAGTGGGGTAGGTGATGGCTTGCTATCATCAAGACCAAACCTCTCAAGGACCTTTTGGATGTACCTTTGCTGGAATAGGAAGATGGACCGTGACTTATGATCTCTCACAATGTTCATACCAAGATAATGACTCGGCTCACCAAGATCGGTCATTGTGAATGCACTCATGAGAATACCTTTCACCTTGTTGAGGAGATCAAGAGAACCTGAGACTAGGAGGAGATCATCGACATATACCAAGAGCCAAATGTACTCCCCCTCACTCGTGTGCATGAAGTACAACGCGTTGTCTCTCATGGACCTTGTGAAACCGTGCTTGAAGAGTACCTTCTCAAGAGCATGATACCATACACGTGGGGACTGTTTGAGACCATAAAGGGACTTTACCAAGCGACAAACTCGACTCGTACCATCATCATAACCTTCGGGTTGTGCCATGTATACCTCTTCTTCCAAGACACCGTAGAGAAATGCGTTCTTGACATCCATTTGATGGATATGGAGACCAAGATATGCGGCTATGGCGAGGAGGACTCGTACCGTGGTGTACTTCGCTACTGCAGCAAAGGTTTCGGTGAAGTCTAGACCTGGAATTTGGGAATAACCTTTTGCCACTAACCTTGCCTTGTACCTATCAAGTGTACCATCACCTTTTACCTTAATCTTGTACACCCACTTGACACCAATTACCTTCTTCCCTGGAGGTGGCTCAACAAGACGCCATGTACCTCTCTTCATGAGACTCTCAATCTCTTCTTCCTCGGCCTTCAACCATTGCTCTCTCTCGGGACTTGCCACTGCCTCATGACGACTCAATGGCTCTCGTGGAAGGTGTGACGCTGCCATGCATATTGCCTCTACCTTCTTGTGAATGCAATCCTCGCTCTCCTCACATGTGCACCTTGATGACATGTCAACCATGAATGTGAATGGCTTTTTTACCTTGCGGACTCGTTTACCTTTACCCAAAGCCTCACTTGGCTGAGACAAATCAATGGTAGGGTTCGGTCTCACAGTGGTTGGATGCATTGACACGGTCATCTGCGGCTGAGACAATGGCTGCGACGGCGGCACGACTGCATGATCTTCTCCCGGCGTGGAACTCTCTCGATTATCGGTGTTGACTTGAGGAATAGGTGTGGTGACTTGTGTCGGTGAAGCTGAAATGTTCGTCGGCATAGTTGGCTGTGAAGATTCTCTTGGTGGGGATCTTGAGACTAGAAGCTTGGGAATTGATGATGACGCTGCGTTGTCGAAAGTTGGAGACGGTTTGGTCTGATTGGCGCTGTTTCTCGGTGTTGAAGATGGCGGTAACTGATGACGGCCGATTCCGGGACGTGGGGGTGAAGTTGAGAAAGGTCTTGGGTGAAGAAGTGGGCTGTTGGAGCTGGTGTTGGTGGTGATTCGCTGAAGTGATCCTCGTGCTATGAGCTGGCTTGACGTTGGAACCTGAAGTGATGAACGTGTGTGAGAACGAGATGTTGCGGTAATGGTTGTCTTGTTGGTAGGAAGAATTGTAGATGGTGCTGATGTAGGTACTTGGAGTCTTGTAGCTGTAGGTTGCTGCTGCATTGGATGATGGTGAGCTTCTGTAGTTGCCTCTGAATTGACGGCTGGTGATGGGTTTGATGGTGTAGTGGTGGGCTGATCCGGGTGACGTTGAACTTGCGGGGTTGGTGTTGAAGTAGCTGGCTGGTTGGTGACGGTTGGCTGCTGCTCCTTTGGCGGTGATGTAACGGTGACTTCTTGGGGTGGATTGTCTTCATTTGACGGCTGAACCACATCTCCACTTGGTTGAGTAGCTGCTGGTGGCACTAGTGTGGCGCAGCTGGTCTCGTTGACGACGGCTTGCGGGAGATCGATGATGGGTCCGCTATGGTCAGAATTGGTGTCATCTCCGTCCTCCTCTTGTGTTGTTTCCTCAGGTGCTCTTGCTGGTTCCTGTTGGAGAGAGGGTGGTAGAGAGGAGGAAGAGGAAAACTTGTGCCAATCTGCAAGGGACATGTCTTCATAGAAGACCACATCCCTTGAAACCACTTCTCGCTTGGTGACGGGATCCCAAAGGACCCATCCCTTGCTCTCGTTGCTCATGCCGATGAAGAGGCCCCAATGAGCTCTGCTATCCAGCTTGACTCTCTTTGCATCTGGAACACGGTATTGGGTCATGGAACCAAAAACACGAAGCATAGACAGATCTGGTTTAACTCCAAACCAAGCCTCATATGGCGTTACACCATCCGGTAGGGGCCCTGTGGGTCTCCTGTTGCGAACATAGATTGCCATAGTGATTGCCTCACCCCACCAGAGCTTGTCAAGGCCCTTAAACTGAAGAAAAGTGGTAGCTATTGCTTGAATAGTGCGATGAAACCTCTCAGCAACTCCATTTTGCTGAGGACTATAAGGACAAGTGAACTGTTGTTTGATGCCCAATGCCAACAACTCCCCCTGAAATGTTTTTCCCATGTACTCACCTCCTCGGTCCGACCTCAAGGTGAGTAACTTCTTCCCTGACTCTCTCTCAACAAGTGCTAGCCATTGCTTGAAACACTTGTGAACTTCATCCTTGGTGTTGATGAAAAATGACCACGAGAAACGACTCTTGTCATCAATGAAAGACACCAAATATCTCTTACCGTTTCGATTAGGGTCTCGCATGGGGCCAAATACATCAGTGTGGACCAACTCTAGGAGGTCCCTTGACTGAGACTTAGAAGGGAAAAATGGCTTTCTAGCTAGCTTACCCTCAACACAAGATGGACATGGAACGGAAGAAAGGGACTTGACTGCAATTTCACTCAAACTCAATCCTTCCACGCTCTTGTGATTCACCAACTTTTTCAATGCTTGCATTCCCAAGTGCCCCAAGCGTGCATGCCATACCTCAGCTTGGGAGATACTCCCTTTGTTGGTTGAAACTGCGGGAAGCGAGACAACGTCGTTCTTCGTATTGTTAGAACCGCGCTTGATCTCCAACTTCATCTTGTAGAGCCGCCCGGTACGCTCGCCTTCAGCCACCAAATTTCCTGCACTGTCCCACACTTTGGCTTTCCCCCCTTGCAATAGTACAGAGGCACCTTTCTCTTCAAGTTGTCCAGCTGAGAGCAAGTTTGCTCCCAAATCAGGAACAAACAAAGCTTTATTGACACAAAATGGCTTACCATCCTTTTCGAACTCAAGCTTGCCGACTCCTTTGATAGGTACTTTGCCAAGATCAGCAAGTGTCACAGCTTTTGAGTCATATGAGGGCTGAAAATCCTTAAGAATGGACTGATAGGGAGTCATGGTTTCAGAACAGCCACTATCAAGGATAAACTCCTCACTACTAGTAGAAAAAACGTGCATGCAAGTGGCGGCGTTGAAAAGGACACGACCTTCAGAATCTTTGGACTCATTTTGACTTGTAGAATGACTTGCCATGTTTGCTATGGCTGCCTTACCCTTTTCGGATAGTAGCTGAGGTGGGGGAACCCAATTAGGAGGCTTCTTAGGACAAGCATACCACGGATGACCCCACTCATGACAACAAAAACACTCGAAATTAAACTTTTTAGCATTTGAGGCTTGGCTGAAATTATTGACTCTTGGCGTATAGACTCGTGCATTCCTAGGCTGATATTGATTGGGAATAGAAGGCCTTGGCTGGACATAGGGACTTGACTTATAGGGAGGACTTGACTGAGCAAAACGAGAGGGTTTGTATGGGTTGGAAGGTGACTGAAAATTCGTACCATAGTAAGGTTGAGGGCGGTTTGGGCTGAAATTTCCTTGCCTCTGGGATTGGTTGCCATATCTTGTAGCTGCTGCAGCACTCCACGCACCCTCGTCACTCCGCTTGTTTCGTGCAAGGTCTCGACTTTGCTGCTCGTTGACAAGGGCTTCGAAGATGAACGCACGGGTCTTCATTGATTGCGGAAGTGCTTGTAGTGTTGCACGGAAAGTGTCCCACTCCGGTGTAAGGCCGGTGAGGATGACGGTCTTGAAAAGAGACTCTGGAATCTCCAAGCCGATCGCGGCTGCTTCCTCTAGCATCGTTTCAGCTCGTTGAAGGTAGGTTTGGGCTGGTTCTTCTTCTTCCATCTTGAGACTCATGAAGCGGCTCCACATCTCGGCCTGGCTGCTCTCGGATTTTGACTGGTGCATAGACTTCAGTCGGCTCCATGCTTCCTCTGCGCTGTTTGCCTTTGTAGAGCAGGGTAGGAGCGACTTCAAGTGCTGCTCGTGAATGCTATTGAGTAGGTAGAGGAAGGCCTCCTTGTTGCGCCGTTCGTAGAGTCGTTTTTCAGCTTCTGAAGCATCTGCTGCTGGTTTGGCTGCTTCTCGAGTGTAGTAAGGCCAGAGATCCAGAAGGGATGCAGTGAGCTCAAACTGAGTTGCCCATGTTGGAAAATCTTTGCCGTTGAACTTGGGGAGGTGAAGCTTAGGCATGAAGGAGGTGAGTGGTGAGTATGTAGTTGAAGAACTGCCTGGTGCAACTGCTTCCACTAATCTAGTAGCTCCTGATGTTGACTCTGAAGCTCCTCCGGCTGACTGGAGTGCAGGGCCAGATGGGTTGTCTCCCGCCATGGATGGATTGTGCTAGGATAGGAAGGTGGTGGCGCTCGGTTGATCGAAACGACGGGCTCTGATACCAACTTGCAAAACAGAGTAGCTTTGATGACTGGTAGGCTGGAAACTTGGCTGGAAAAGCTCAACAGAGCTGCTGGACTTGGCTTGATGAGAGAAAACTTCACTATGATCAAGATTAACAAGCCCACTAAAGCACAACTTCCTAAGCATTACAAACATGCAGATTGATAGCTCAAACTAGGCTGCTAGACAAGGCAACTTCCTTGGGAACTTGGGCACAATTCAGATTCCATGAACCTTGAGTGACTTGAGAGCCACATGAGGTGCATGAATAAGAAATCTCTGGAATGTACTGTTATAGCTGATTCTGTTTTGTAGAAACCTGTAGAAACTGTCGACCCTTCTGTTTGAGAGCAATCCCGAACTGTATCGAGTCTTCGGCTGCAATCTGATTTTGCTGCGGAAGTTTCTGATTTTTCGCGAAGCCTTCAATCCGTCGCCGACATTCTTGCTGCTCCTTGTGTGCTAAGGGCTGGGGCGGCAGAGACTCGATTCTCCAACAGAAACAACCCTCCCAACCCACACAAAGACCACCTTTTCAACAGACTTAGCCCGTTTATGGACCCGGTTTTCTACCCGAGTTTTGACCATCAACTTCGTGACGAAACGATAGTTACTGCCTTGCAGCTAGGCCACGCCGCCCTCCATGAACGAATTAGCCAATCGATCTGCCTAATTTCATCCCTCACCCGCTTGCATGCGTCTGGTAGCGGCGTCGCATCCCTGGCCCGCTGAATGCTCTGGTCAGTAGTGCCCTCCCAGCGTCAATCCGTCATTCTCTCCCGCCGTTCTTTCTTCAACGCGCTTTTCCCACAAGTTTGTCGCTTAGAAAACTGACAATCCTCCCAACCGGGAAGGCCATTTCTTCGCCCGTGCCCAGCAATCACCCCTCGGTGGCGACTTCGCCCCGTCTGTCGAAAGCCGTTGGTCGCTCCCAGGTGACTGGTGCGCGAATATTTACGACGTGCCGTGCGAAGGTAACGACGCCGTGAAGAACTTGAGATCAGATGGACACTATTTTGACAGCTGGAGATGGGGGGAACGAGAGGGCATGGAGGGACGAGGGGGATTGGAGGGACGAAAGGGAGTGGAGGGGTGAAAGAGATTGTAAGGACGAACTGAAGAAAGCGCGGAAGGCGTTGGCGGAGGCAAGGCGGCGGGAAGAGGAGCTGGAAGGAGGGGTGCGGGAGGGCGAGAGGGCGATGGGGGAGCTGGACGAGTGGATTGGGCGCAAGGTGGGAACGATGTCGTCAGTAGTTGCCGCAAGCGCATGGCGGATGGTTCGTGCTCGCATCCGATGATGATGATGATGATGGAGGTGAGCTCACGGCACGTTCAACGCCCTCGTCAGGCCACGCCATGCCGCCGCGCAATCATGCCATGCCATGATAAGACATGCCATGCCATGATAAGACATGCCATGCCACGGCTTCCCTCTTTTTTCCCACTGTTACCGTCTTCTTATTTCCCTCCTCCCTCTCATTCTCTCTCGCGCCTCCAAGCTCCCTCTCTCTCTACTATTGTCTCTCTATTCTCTCGCATGGGCGTCGCCCTTTTCTCCATTTCTCGTATCCCCTCCGCCCACCCTTCCTTGCCTTCCCTACCTTCACAACCTCCTTTCTCTCTCCTTGGCTTTATATCCCCCGTCCGTTATATCGCAACTCTCTCTATGTCCCACGCCCTTGTTTCCTTCCCCGCCTATATATTTTCCTGCCCGGCACCATCTGACAGGGATTGATAGGTCTCTTCCCCCTTCCTGGCCCCCTCTCGCCACTCAGCATCTGCATCACTGCATCGCACCACCTCCCCCCGCTGCTTATCCTGGCTCTCATACCTTTTTTTTCTTGCACCGTGTGGCAAACCTCTCTGCTTATGCGGACGCCATTCGGTCAGCAACGCCGAGAGTGAGGTGTGCAGGACTCCAACCCACCTGTCCTGTCGTCTCGTGTGAGTCAGGCGGGCAAACCTGACCAAGCAGGAAAACATCCGCTCACCTTTCTCCCTCGTTCCCCCACACACCCATTCCCACCTTAACACATTCGTCGGATCGGCCACGTGGCAGCAACTGACGGCTCTATCCGCCCATGCGGAGGCCATCCATTCCATGGTGCAGGCTGTGAGGAAGCTGGCATTCGGATTCGAGGGTCGGAAGGCTCAGGCGGATAGATTGAGAGAGGAGAACGAGGAGATGATGCAGAAGCAGTGGGAAGAGGAGAACGAGGCGGGGGGGGGAGGAGGCGCAGGAAGAGGTGGTGAGGGACGAGGCGCAGGAAGAGGTGGTGAGGGACGAGGCGCAGGAAGAGGTGGTGAGGGACGAGGCGCAGGAAGAGGTGGTGAGGGACGAGGCGCAGGAAGAGGTGGTGAGGGACGAGGCGCAGGAAGAGGTGGTGAGGGACGAGGCGGAGGAAGAGGTGGTGAGGGACGAGGCGGAGGAAGAGGTGGTGAGGGACGAGGCGGAGGAAGAGGTGGTGAGGGACGAGGCGGAGGAAGAGGTGGTGAGGGACGAGGCGGAGGAAGAGGTGGTGAGGGACGAGGCGGAGGAAGAGGGGGTGAGGGACGAGGCGGAGGAAACGACCAAGGGAGTAGATGAGACGATGGGCGATGGGCTCGAGGTTTTCGGGAATGAGACTTGCAGGCGCGGGTTTGAGGGAGGGGCTGGGTCCACGCAAGTGGAAGGAGCAAGCGGCGAGGCAGAGGAGAATCACGAAAACGAAGCAGAGGGAGAGGAAGGGCGGGTGACAGGGTCAGCAGATCACGTGGCAATGCAAGAAGCAGAGCAAGGGGCAGACCAAGGAGCAAAGCAGGGGGGAGGGCAAGAAGCAGAGCAAGGGGGAGATCAAGGAGCAGTGCAGGGGTTAGGGCAAGGAGCAGAGCAAGGGACAGGGCAAGGTGCAAAGCAGGGGGGAGGGCAAGAAGCAGAGCAAGGGACAGGGCAGGAAGCAGAGCAGGGGGTAAGGCACGGAGCACAACAGGGTTTATGGGAGGAGCGAGCAGCGGATTCCAACAGGCAGTCATTGAGGCAGCCGGTTGCCAGGGAGAGAGGCGTGAAAGAGGAAGGTCTTGACGATCTTCCCATGGTGCAGGTGAGCGGGACGAGGAGAGATGGACGGCTGGAGGGGGATTGAGAGCAATCTGCACAAGAGGGAGTTGGTGACAGTGATTACCTGGAGTGGGTGAGAAGCATGAGAAAATGTGAAAGAAATCCCTTGTCATCTTACAAGTACCGCGTCCCAAGGGCCTCATATCAGAGACCCTCACCTGCTACTTGCTTACGTGTCCATCTGGCCCCATTCATTCATTTTCCTCCCCTTGACTCTCCTTTCCTGTCTTTTCCTCTCCTTCCGTTTCCTCCTCATCTGCTGAACGTTTCCTGTTTCCTCTGTTCCTCGCCAACGCTCACACTCCATCCCAATTCCCCTCTAATTCACACGCACCATTCATGACTGAGTCTCCCTCGCATTCCCTCGTTGCTCCCCTCTTTCCACTCTTGCCCCTTGTCCCAAGCCTCACCCATTCCCCCTCCCCGCTCTTGCCCCCATCCCACCCCTCCCCCATTCCCCCACTGGTCCACTGCAGCCACTCCTTTCCGCGGCCCACAATGCTGGGAGCAAACAAGTGGCGAGAGTGGATTCGGGAGGAGCAGTCACAATGAATGTGGAGGCGAGGAACGCCCTCAAGGGAGGAGGGGGAGGCTGGGCGGGGGGAGAAGGGGGAACCCAGATGGAGGGAGCGCATCAGTGGCCGGTTGGTGGGAGAGCAAGCAAAGCGGAGGTGAGGGCAAGGCTGCAGGGAAGGATCAGTGCTATACTGCAATTCCGCCCCGACAGGCAGGAAAGAGTTACCCGGGAGATCGACTGGGTGGTGTCGCAGCTCTCCTCCCAGGACCCCACGGCTACAGAGCTCACTCTCTGTAACCTCTCCCTCGCCTTGTACCTGCACCTCACGCCCCTCTGCTACCTGCACCTCACGCCCCTCTGCTACGCGCACTGCCTACCGTCCATGACCACTCTCGACCTCCGCCGGGTCAACCATGTCTCGCCGCTCGCCATGAGGCACCTCCTCCACCTGCCCTCCCTCACAGCCCTTCACTTCCACGAAACTTCCATCCATGCAGATGCGCTGCCACTCTTGCAGTGCATCCCTCGCCTCCACCGGCTCGTCATAGCCTGCTTTGACCCCTTTGACCTGCTTCCCAACGTACCACCCAAGCGCCACGGCAGCCGGTCCCCTCTGTGTGATACCATCAGCAATCTCCAGCCATTTCAGCCGTTTCAGTGCTTGCGAGAGCTGCATGTGAGCCGCGTGACTGACTCTATTCTGCAGCAGGTGGGGGTGCTGACGAGCCTTGAGGCCTTGTCGTGCACGTGCAGCAAAGGGGTGAGTGCTAAGGGCTGGACCCACCTCAGGGGAATGGTGAAGCTGAGGAGGCTGCAGGTGGCGCCAACAATCATCACCAGGCACCCGGGATCCAACGGCCACCACTTCGGCAACCCCTTCCCCGGCCACCGCTTTGGGCCCAAGCTAGTTGGGCCCAAGCTAGTTGGGCCCAAGCTAGTTGGGCCCAAGCTAGACTTCTTGAGATCTCGCCTGCCAGAGGTAATCAGAACCTTCCAAAAGCCTCCCATTAAAGGGGCTGCCTGCGCGAGTGAGGATTTTGGCAACCGCATCGACGGGAGCATATGGGAGGTGGTGGGTGGGCTAGCGGGCCTGCAGCACTTGGAGGTGCACGCAGCAGAGCCCAGCACGGCAGCACTGCGATCCCTCTCCAACCTCAGGTGGCTCGAGTCCCTCCACATCACGGACACGGCGCTTCATGATGGTGACCTGCTGTACTTGACTCGCCTCTCCCTGCTCACACACCTCAGCCTACCTGCCTGCACGTTCGCAGCAGATCGGGCTGTGAGGTCAGTGATCCAAGGCATGGCACAGCTGAAGGCGCTGGACCTGTCGGGAGCGGCCATCAGCCACGGCGCTGCTGTGCATCTGCAGGCACTTGGGCGGCTGGAGCGGTTGAAGCTGCAGCAATGCAGCGGCATGAGCAGGCTGTTTGTGCAGCATCTCAGCCGCATTCCCTCTCTGCGGGAGTTGGATCTGGGCTGCAACAACATGCAGCACGCTTGGCTGCTGCCGATTCTGGAAGGAAAGAAGGTGGCTCGCCTTGGGGTAGGTGGGTGCGGGTTCGTGGAACGAACAGTGCGTGGGATCCAGCGGGCTTGGATTGAGATCGACTCCCACTGAGATAGATTATGTTGGGATGCATTGTATGTGCTATATGGCTTGTGGCGTATGGTGTGTGCTATATGGCATGTGGCGCATGGTGTGTGCTATATGGCATGTGGCGCATGGTGTGTGCTATATGGCATGTGGCGCATGGTGTGTGCTATATGGCATGTGGCACATGGTGTGTGCTATATGGCATGTGGCGCATGGTGTGTGCTATATGGCATGTGGCGGATGGTATGTGCTATATGGCATGTGGCGTATGGTGTGTGCTATATGGCATGTGGCGCATGGTGTGTGCTATATGGCATGTGGCACATGGTGTGTGCTATATGGCATGTGGCGCATGGTGTGTGCTATATGGCATGTGGCGCATGGTGTGTGCTATATGGCATGTGGCGCATGGTGTGTGCTATATGGCATGTGGCGGATGGTGTGTGCTATATGGCATGTGGCGCATGGTGTGTGCTATATGGCATGTGTCGCATGGTGTGTGCTATATGGCATGTGCTGCAAAAGCACCCTGTATGTGAGCAGTTGGAGTTGTGAGGTGTCATGGTGGTGGTAAGAGCGCCATGGGGAATGAGCAGCACACAAGCTGGTAGCTGTGGTGTTAGTTTTGCGAACTGCAATTGATATGAACTTCTGCTGTGGTTAAAAGTAGTGTTATGCAGCATCCTATCCTGACCAAACACCCTGCCTCCATTACGACCCTTCTGTAAGCATCATCGGTTTGTGAAGAGTTGTACCTCCGAAGAAACTTCTTCCACGCAATTGTCATTAAACCATGTGTGGATGGATGCATGTCAAATCAATCCTCTGAATTTAATGGCATACCGTATGTTGGTTCTCTCTTAGAGTTGATTAGCTTGTATGGAATGGAACTCATCCTTTCCCATATGAAAAAAAAACACCCTCTATCTTATTAGCAGTGTGAGATAAGACATACGGTACTTGTATATCTACTATCGAGAAAATGACATTAATATAAATAGGAGACCTTATTATTTCACTCCAATGTTATAAGGGCAGGGGACTTGCCATGGTCATGGCATTACCACTCGCCCAGGTTCATGGCCACAAACCCGTTATACAGCCGCCCATTGGTCGCTCTGAGCTCATTGATGAGGCGACTCCAGTTGGACCCCAGCGACCCGATGAACACATCGCACTGCGCTGCAATGAGCAAGCTCGCCAGGCTGGCAGCGGGCGACTGCAGCGCGTCGTACGCGTGCGGGTCCAGCGCGCCCTCTGGCAGGCGCCCGTTGGCCGCGTAGAGGAAGGTCCACCCCGCATAGAGCGGCGTGGCCGCCTCGTTGATCACTGCCTGTAGGGTGGTTGGGAGGGGAGGGCGGAGAGGGATGGATGGGTGAGGACAGGCGCGTGCAGCGCGCGGCGTACGCGTGGTGGCCCAGGGCGCCCTCTGGCCCACCCCCGTTGCTCGTTGGCCGCGCAGAGGAACGTTCACAGACCCGTGCAATTGTGAGTGTGGCCGCCTTGTTGATCACCGACTGCAGGGTGGTGGCAGGAAGGGTGGGGGCAGGGTGTTATGCGTGTGGAGGGGCAGGGTGTTATGCGTGTGGAGGGGCAGGGTGTTATGCGTGTGGAGGGGCAGGGTGTTATGCGTGTGGAGGGGCAGGGTGGTATGCGTGTGGAGGGGCAGTGTGGTGTGGGCGCAACGGGAGCAGGGTGGTGGCTTCGCAGGGCACTGAGTGCCGCGAGTGCAGTGAGGGAGTTGGCAAGCAGCCCGTGGTGAGTGGGGGTATCAACAATGAGAGGGTTGGCCCCGCGCTCACCACTCTTGAGTCGACTCAAAAGCAGAGAGGGTTGGCCCCGCGCTCACCACTTGCGGGCACAGGGAGGGAGAGTGGGAGACCGGCAGGTAAGCAGGAAACGAAACAGGCAGGCAGGAGGGAGAGAGGAAGGCAGTGAGGGAGAGGAGGAAGATAAGCAGGGTGGAATGAGGGAAGCAAGAATGGTAGGAGAGAGGAAGGGACGAATGGGAACGGCAAAGAGCACATGGGCAGCAGTGCCTTGATCTTGTCGTGCTGACTCGCCTGCATTTCAGTGGAGAGCCACACGTGCTTGAGGTCCACGAGGGTGCGCTGCAGGCGGGCGGCAAACAGCATGTGGGCGGCGAACGACCACACACCCATCTCCACCTGCTTGTCGCTCTGCCTCACATGCATGCTCACGATGGGCCGCACTATGTACGGCTCAGACACAAGCGATGCCCCACTCGCACCTCCACCACCTCCAGCACCTGCAGCAGCAGCGGCAGGAGCGGCAGTCGAATCGGCAGTCGAATCAGCAAACCTTGCTGCTGCTGCGGTTGCAACTGCTGCAGCGATGGCGCTGGCCTCAGCAGCGGCGGAGGCACTGGGAGCGTTTGAGTCAGTGTGTGGAGGCAGAGGTGGCAGTGACTGCTGCAGCTGTGAGTGAAGCTCCACTTGCCGCGCAATGCGATTGGCGACGTGCATGCCGTAGGCGGTGTGTCTCTGTTGGTTGATGACGTGGCAGAGATGGGCTGATGGCCACCTCAGCATGAAGCGCACTGCCTGCGCCCGCCACCAGTGTAACTGCAGCGCACCGGGAAAAAAGGAGGGGAAGTCAGTGAGAAGAGAGGAGTGGGAGCGGGTCTCATACCCCTGAAAACTCATGAGGTTACTGCAGCTGCCAGGAGTGCAGCCGCCAGGAGTGCAGCTGCTGACAAGCACACGGCAAGAAACAAGTGAAGGTTGGGCACAGAGGCAACACGTGGAAAGGAAGAATTTCACGAAAGGGGTGAGGCCATGGCATGTACGCCTTTCTTAGAGAAACTGAGGTGCAAGGTTCCTGTGGGAACGAGGTGTTGTGTAGTGTGGTTGCAGAAACACATATGCACCACGCTCCTTGCTCAACACATATGCACCACGCTCCTTGCTCAACACATATGCACCACGCTCCTTGCTCAACACATATGTACCACGCTCCTTGCTCAACCTCTGGTCCATCTCCCACCCACCTTTTTGTGCTCGGTCCCCTCCAGCTGCACCTCCCCTCGCAGCTCCACCACATCGGGGTCCTTGGCATATGCCTCGCCCCACAGCCTGCCACTCATGCCATGCCATGCCATGCCATGCCAATGCGATGCCATGCCAATGCCATGCCGTGCCATGCCGTGCCGTGTCATGCCATGCCATGCCACGCCATCCCATGCCGTGCCGGTGGGGCAGGTGGGGCAGGTGGGGCAGGTGAGGCAGCAGCTCAACTCACTTCTGTGTATCCCACCTGCCGCCTCTGGATCCCACCTGTCACCTCTGGATCGCCAAGAATCAAATCGCAGCCATGAAGCACACAAGCTCCACACCTGCTGCTGCTGCCACATCCAACCGAACTGAACCCATCCTCACCGGCCCAAGGTCGCTCTGCAACTGACCCGGCAGCAGAGGCTTCGAACTTGAGGTCGTTGAGGGCCGACGTGTTCACACACACCACCCTCTCCGCTGCCGCTGCTGCCGCCCTGTAGCCCTCTGCTGGGGCGACACATGGCGGTAGTTGATTAGCGGAGAGGGTGAGGGCGACCTCTTGGGAGCAGAGAGGGGAGGCGATGGGGGCGAAGAAGCAGGACCAGGAGCTGCCGTGACTCATGGCTGGTGGGGCGGACGGAGGGGGATGAGCAGTGGGGGTTGAGAGGCGTGTGGGGCATTGCATTAGGCATGCCTGCGGTCAAGCGTTTGTTTGTGACTGGTGTGATGGCGGCAGGAGACATGAGGGTGGTTGCAGCCGTTGGGGATGAGGATGGGAACAACGTTGGGCATGACATGAGTGGGTACAACGTTGGGCATGACATGAGTGGGTACAACGTTGGGCATGACATGAGTGGGTACAACGTTGGGCATGACATGAGTGGGTACTGCGGAGCAGAGGTGTCATGTCAGTATGCCTGTAGCAGAGGTGTCATGTCAGTATGCCTGTAGCAGAGGTGTCATGTCAGTATGCCTGTAGCAGAGGTGTCATGTCAGTATGCCTGTAGCAGAGGTGTCATGTCAGTATGCCTGTAGCAGAGGTGTCATGTCAGTATGCCTGTAGCAGAGGTGTCATGTCAGTATGCCTGTAGCAGAGGTGTCATGTCAGTATGCCTGTAGCAGAGGTGTCATGTCAGTATGCCTGTAGCAGAGGTGTCATGTCAGTATGCCTGTAGCAGAGGTGTCATGTCAGTATGCCTGTAGCAGAGGTGTCATGTCAGTATGCCTGTAGCAGAGGTGTCATGTCAGTATGCCTGTAGCAGAGGTGTCATGTCAGTATGCCTGTAGCGGAGGTGTCATGTCAGTATGCCTGTAGCAGAGGTGTCATGTCAGTATGCCTGTAGCAGAGGTGTCATGTCAGTATGCCTGTAGCAGAGGTGTCATGTCAGTATGCCTGTAGCAGAGGTGTCATGTCAGTATGCCTGTAGCAGAGGTGTCATGTCAGTATGCCTGTAGCAGGAGACATGAGCTTGAATGTGAAGACCTCCTTTCAACTATTTTGTAAACAGTGCCTCAAGGCTGAATTCGCATGTACCTCTGCATCAAGTGAGAATGCGAGTCACCAACTTCAAATCATGAAGTGATCAACAGTGTTACATGCCCATTGCGTCATGTTGATTGACAAACCAGGTAGCTTAACAGAGAAGCTTCTCTGGCAACGTGCGTTCAATCAAGGTGCAGCAGAAGCAAGGCGAATAAGGATGTCTCTTGAATACACGAAGATTTGAGAGAGACATTCCCGAAGGAAGGAATGTGTGCATAGTGTACCACTTCGATGTGTGCATAGTGTACCACTTCGATGTGTGCATAGTGTACCACTTCGATGTGTGCATAGTGTACCACTTCGATGTGGCTTTGGATTCGTTTAATGAACGAAATCTATCGCACTACATGCACTGAGTTGCAACGCAGCACAGGTCGCACAGCAGCACAGGTCGCACAGCAGCACAGGTCGCACAGCAGCACAGGTCGCAACGCAGCACAGGTCGCACAGCAGCACAGGTCGCAACGCAGCACAGGTCGCACAGCAGCACAGGTCGCACAGGAGCACAGGTCGCACAGGAGCACAGGTCGCACAGGAGCACAGGTCGCACAGCAGCACAGGTCGCACAGGAGCACAGGTGGCACAGCAGCACAGGTCGCAACGCAGCACAGGTCGCACAGCAGCACAGGTCGCAACGCAGCACAGGTCGCACAGCAGCACAGGTCGCAACGCAGCACAGGTCGCACAGCAGCACAGGTCGCACAGGAGCACAGGTCGCACAGGAGCACAGGTCGCACAGCAGCACAGGTCGCACAGGAGCACAGGTGGCACAGCAGCACAGGTCGCACAGCAGCACAGGCAATACTTGGAAGGCTAGGGAAGCGAAATACGAGTTGATGACACAGTGGTAGCAGGTGTAGTGAGGGAGATGTTCGCCGGGGCTGGGCTAGCCCAGGGCGACTCACCGTGGGGCCGGCAGTGTGTGGGGCTGGTGGTGTGTGGGGCTGGTGGTGTGTGGGGCTGGTGGTGTGTGGGGCTGGTGGTGTGCGGGTGGTGGGGTGCGAGTGCGAGCACAAGGGTGGGTGACTGACCGTGGCACTGGGTGACTGACCGTGGCAATGGGAGGAGTTGGCGCGGCCGTAGGAGGCGGGCAGCGGCACGAGGATGCGATTGGAGGAGAGGGCCACGCTCAGCAGCACTGCCATGATGTGCACCTGACGCCCAGGTGAATCCCAGGTGGTTTCAACAGAGGCAGGTGAGTGAGACAAGAGGAATGATGAGAGGACCGAGCCCAAGCACTGGGGTCCTATGTTCGGAAAGACGCAGCTAGGACGCTGCGTCCTGCGTCCGGACGCAGCGTCCGGACGCTAGGACGCAGGACGCACGTCGAAAAAAAATTCGGGCAGCCCGAAAAAAAATCGATTGCGATTTTGGCATTCGCGATTTCGACGCGAATGTCGAAATTGCGAAATTTCCCCACCCCAAGCCCAATTCGCCATTCAAAACCAGCCCCCCTAACATTCCCTAACAACTAAACCAAAATTGAATTTCACTCAGACCTCTCAACCACTTAGCATCTACGAATCCCAACCTTTGTAGCCCACCACCACCAAGCACATTTAGCATGGCAACCTTTTGTGGCTTCTCATTTTCCCCTCACCAATTCTCTTTCGTAAACCCATAGAGGTTTTAGGTCTTAGCTTAGCTTACCACCTAAACTCCGCTATGGCTTCCTCGAGCATTCCTTCTTCTTCTTCCACCGCGTCTAAGAGTGTTGATGATGCCGTAGACTCTCCCCCCAAGCGTTACACTAGGAACGTAATGTGTGTGTGTGAGACCTTGTGAAATGTGTGACACGTGACTCACCTTAATCTCCAATATTGGGGGGAAATTTTGTGGTTGGGGAAAATTTTGTGGTATGACACCCCCCCCCCCCCCCCCCCCCCCCCCCCCTCTCCCAAGCCCTATACAATTTTTTTTGGCCTGCCCGGGGTTTTTTTTTGCCCTGCCCGGGCTTGCGTCTTTTGGTGCGTCTTACAGGTCAAGGGTCAGCGTCCTGCGTCTAGACGCATGCGTCTGGACGCATGTGTCCAGGACGCAGGACGCGTCTTTCTGAACATAGCTGGGGTCTGGGTCTGGGCGCCTCAAGGAGAGGTGGGACGCCTCAAGGAGAGGTGGGACGCCTCAAGGAGAGGTGGGACGCCTCAAGGAGAGGTGGGACGCCTCAAGGAGAGGTGGGACGCCTCAAGGAGAGGTGGGACGCCTCAAGGAGAGGTGGGACGCCTCAAGGAGAGGTGGGACGCCTCAAGGAGAGGTGGGACGCCTCAAGGAGAGGTGGGACGCCTCAAGGAGAGGTGGGACGCCTCAAGGAGAGGTGGGACGCCTCAAGGAGAGGTGGGACGCCTCAAGGAGAGGTGGGACGCCTCAAGGAGAGGTGGGACGCCTCAAGGAGAGGTGGGACGCCTCAAGGAGAGGTGGGACGCCTCAAGGAGAGGTGGGACGCCTCAAGGAGAGGTGGGACGCCTCAAGGAGAGGTGGGACGCCTCAAGGAGAGGTGGGACGCCTCAAGGAGAGGTGGGACGCCTCAAGGAGAGGTGGGACGCCTCAAGGAGAGGTGGGACGCCTCAAGGAGAGGTGGGACGCCTCAAGGAGAGGTGGGACGCCTCAAGGAGAGGTGGGACGCCTCAAGGAGAGGTGGGACGCCTCAAGGAGAGGTGGGACGCCTCAAGGAGAGGTGGGACGCCTCAAGGAGAGGTGGGACGCCTCAAGGAGAGGTGGGACGCCTCAAGGAGAGGTGGGACGCCTCAAGGAGAGGTGGGACGCCTCAAGGAGAGGTGGGACGCCTCAAGGAGAGGTGGGACGCCTCAAGGAGAGGTGGGACGCCTCAAGGAGAGGTGGGACGCCTCAAGGAGAGGTGGGACGCCTCAAGGAGAGGTGGGACGCCTCAAGGAGAGGTGGGACGCCTCAAGGAGAGGTGGGACGCCTCAAGGAGAGGTGGGACGCCTCAAGGAGAGGTGGGACGCCTCAAGGAGAGGTGGGACGCCTCAAGGAGAGGTGGGACGCCTCAAGGAGAGGTGGGACGCCTCAAGGAGAGGTGGGACGCCTCAAGGAGAGGTGGGACGCACGGCCTCCGCGCATTCGATGGCATAAGCAACAGCCAGCGAGGGAGGCACACACTGTTGCCTCGTGTACTGCCCGTGAGCATCAGTCGTGGCCCCCACTGGTGCACGTCATGCCATTCCATGCCTCATCATGTCATGCCATGCCATGCTATGCCAGCATGTGTACCTGCGACCCCATGCCATGCCAGCATGTGTACCTGCGACCCCATGCCATGCCACTGGTCCTCGGGCCATGGCACCACCAGCAGGCGGCGGCTGACACAGGAGGGGGGGAACTGCCACTCCCACACATCCCTCTGCACCACTCTGGTTAGCGCCAGATTGTCACTGTCCGCCCCTCGCACCTGCCCATGTGACGCCCAGGCCAAGGGCGCCGGACACGAAGAAATGAGGAGATGAGTACACAAGAAGACGAGGAGACGAGGGGAAAAGCAGTAGACGAGAAGAGGAGCGAAGAGCTGTCATTTGCACACACCCCTCTGCACCGCTCCAATTCTCACTGCACTGTCTACCGATGCGAACTGCCAACCATTGCGAACAGGAGACAGGGGGAACAGCACGGAGCAGGAACGCAAGACATGGGGAAGAGTGCGGTTATGGAAAACAGGGGTGTGTGAAGGGAAAGCAGGGGTGTGTGAAGGACGGCAATGGTTGGAAAGGGAGGACGGGAATGGAGGAAGGGGATGAGGGGTGGCAGCAAGAGTGAGTGGCGATGCCGAGGTGTAGCAGAGGGCCACACACCACGCCCAGCCTCAGCGGGCCACCCACCCACCCGCCTGCCCGCCCGACCGTCTGCCCACCCACCCGCCCGCCCGCCCGCCCGACCGTCTGCCCACCCACCATCCCCAGCCCACCACGCACCACGCACGCACCCAGGGCGGCTGGGGCACACACGTGCAGCATGTAGGGAGCGGAGGAGAGGCGGAGGCGCCTGCTTCAGCGCCAACCGTCAGTGACGCCTTGAACTCGCCGCTTGCCTCCCCAGAGGCTGCGCGCTTGCAGCACGCCAACCCCACTTCCCCCTGCGCCCCTCCCTCTTGCGCCCCTCGCACTCCTTCTTGAGCGGGCTGTGGGTCCGCCCATGGTGGAAGTTCTCCCCTTTCCCCCCGCTGCTCCGCCTGCTGGCGCAGCGCTGTGAGCGCGGCGCAGTCCTCGAGATGAGGGGCGGGGGGGAGGGAGGGCGGAAGGGAGAGGGGCGAGGGCGGAAGCAGCGAGTCGGCGGAGAGCCCGTAGGCGTCCGCCCACGCCTGCGGGTGTGTTTGAGTGAAGGGAGAGAGGGGGGGGGATGGGGGAGGCGAATGGGGAGGGAGAGGGGAAGGGAAGGGGGAGGGAGAGCGAGCAAGGATAGAGAGGGGGAACTGAAGGACATGTTAAGGCGGCGAGAGGAAGAATTGCAGGAGCGGGGTTGAGGGGCGGCGGCAGAAGGCGAGAGGGCGACGGTGGGCGGGCCATGAACGGTGGAGATGGTGGGCAGGGCGCTTCCAGTTCGTGGAAGGCTGTGGCGGACGAAGCAAGCCAGTGCGGTTCACAGCGGTACCGAGGGTCGCTGCTGGATGGGAAAACAGTGGCTGCTGCCTGCGAGCACTCCCGCTGTTGTCTCACCCTATACAACGACATGGCGTGCTCCATTCCCGCCGCCCCTTCCAGAGCGCTCACGACCGTCGATGCAGTCTTGCTGGACAAATCGCACGGCCAGTCGCAAAGCATCGTCGCCACGACGAATGCCGCGAGCGAAAGTGGCAGGCGACTAGATGGAGCATGGCGTGCGTGTGCGCGTGCCATGATCATCAGCAGGTCCTCGATCCTATCGCTATCAGTGTCATGAGACAAACAGCTGGGAAAGAAAACTAAAAATAGTTTTTGCATTTAACAATTCGAATAACGAGAGTATGGGGGTGTAGCTCACATGGTAGAGCGATCGCTTTGCATGCGATAGGTACGGGGATCGATACCCCGCGTCTCCAATCATGAAACTTTTACTGCTATCAACCTTTCAGGTTTAAGTAATATATTATGAGTGACCATGGTGGAAAGTACACCGAAACTGCGATATTTCCACGCCCCTTATCTTCACGCTCCGGGGTAAACACCCTCATCTAGTCTGATTTTGAGAGTGATTCACAACATTATTTAAAAAATATAGGTTACACTCACGCAATCCCGTGGCGAGATTTCCCGAAGTACAAGTATGATGTGGAGATTTCCCCTCTCAAACTGACCGTAAAGCGTAAGTTTCGTAAGGCTGGACGTTCCGGTAATTTAATTATAGACCCATATTTTCAGGGTGCCCGTGTCTTGGAACCAAAAACTATTTAGGGTGTCTGGCTAGGGAAGCGTACGAGGTGTGGAATTATCGTAGTTTCGGTGTACTCGCCTTGAACTGATTATTCCATGCGGGCGGATCTCGTAGGGCGAGTGTGATTTTTTTTCCCGCACATGGCTGAAGCACAATCACACACCCAAGTTCGAGTTTGCATGTTCGAGCTTATAGGGAACCGAGCTGCACGTAGCCTGGGAAGGTTACCGAGTATCGTCTTCTTGTCAGTGCGGCGCTTCAACGATGCACATCATTTATGGAAATTATTCTCGCACACTTAGCTAACTCCTCGTACGTGCCCTAAATCACACACGTTTGGTTCATCGTGTACTGTCAAGTTAATGCGTAGACTCGATTCTTGCTCACTTTTGGGTGGTCGCGTTTGACCATTCTCAAATGAGAGTACCCCTCGCCAAACGATCTCGTTAAATGGGTTTGGAAGGGGAGCTTGGAAGGGAAGAAGAGTTCGGTGGTGGCAGCTCGGAAGCCCGAGTTCGGTGGTGGCAGCTCGGAAGCCCCATCCCAAGTGGGGTGGAGGGGCACCCCAACATTCAATTGGGACCACGTAAGCAAGGCGCAGCTGACCACGCTGCTGTAGCTCACGAGCAAGGAAGTAGCGAAGAGCAATGTGCTTCGTTTTGTGCTCCAGTCTGTGCTCCTGACACAAGGCCAGCATGGCCTTGTTGTTTACGTACAGAACTGGAGGAGAGCGAGGCGGCTCTCCTAGGTCAGTCAGCAGGTAGGTGAGCCAGCATAACTCCTGTGCATCCATGGCCCCTGCATAGATCCCAGCCTCACAGCTGGAGCTGAGAAAAGAAGACGAGCGAGTAGACCGCCACGAAACAGAGCCGGAACCAAGGCTGAAGGTGTAACCCTGTGACGACCGCTGGGTAGCCAAGTCGTCAACCCAAGGCGCGTCTCCGTGACCAATGAGGACCACCGGACTACGCCCTCCAAGCACGAGCCCCATGCCCGACGTACTGCACAAGTAGCGCAACACCCTCTTCACTGCAGCCATGTGCTCTGGTCGGTGTCTCCCAGGAGCAACATAGCGTACCAAGATGCTAAGAGGGTATGCCATGTCAGGTCGAGTGCAGGTCATCAAGTACATGAGGCAGCCAACAAGCTCTGGGTACGGGCCACTTGGCTCAACGGACTCATCCGAAGGCAGAGCTGAGAGCGAGTGGAGAGTAGACAGAGGAGTGGCCTGAGGCGAGGAGTTTGTGAAGTCGAAGCGCTGAAGAACCTGCTGCACCATGTGTGAGTGAGTTAGGGTAATGGTGTGCCGTGCTGTGTCCCGGGTGATCTGCAAGCCAAGGTAGCTGCGCAGTTCACCCACGTCTGTGCACGTGTGTCTCTTCTGCAGCTCGGACTTCACGTGGGCGAGTCCAGCAGTGTCAGCTGTGGCAAAGAACAAGTCGTCGATGTACACGAGGACGTAGAACGGCGGCGAAGAGTTGTCGATGCGTAGAAACAGCGACGGGTAGGCAGTAGGAGCAAACCCAAGAGCCGCCAGAGTAGTCCTCAGTGTGTCGTGCCACTCACGGGGCGCATGGCGGAGACCGTAGACTGGCCGCCGCCGGCTCCACTCGGTACTAGGAGGAAGCGACCCAGTGAAGCCAAGTGGGCAGCGCAGCTAGATCTCCTTGTGCAGGTTGCCTTGTAGGAAAGCAATGTTGAAGTGAAGAGAGTAAAGCTCGTAGTCGCTCTAAGCGGCTATGTATAGCAGCACCCAAAGAGTGGTCATCTTCGAGGTGGGAGAGAAGGTATGAAAGTAGTCAACTCCCGGCCGCTGACTGAAGCCTCGAGCCACGTAACGCGCCTTGAAGACACGCGGAGAACCCAGCGGCCGCTTCACCCTGAAAATCCACATGTCGCTGACGATGTTCGCCCCAGGTGGGGAAACCTCGTCGACGTAGGTGCTTGTGGGCTTCCAGGAAGCCATCTGTGTGTCCATGGCTGACTGCCACTGAGAGGAGTAGGGACTCTCTATCGCCTCTGCGTAAGAGCGCGGGGTCGGGATGTTTGGTGCATCCGGGTCTCCCTTAGGGGCAACTAGCATGGACACGAGATGAGGTAAAGCAGCAGCAAAACACTGGAACTCCTCCTGGCTGTCCTCAAGGTCGTCCGTGCTAAGAGCAGACTCACCCCCGACGGACGGAGGACAGAAAGACTCAGACTCAGCAACAAGACTAGCAGCGTAGTCTACACGACAGCGAGACGCGAAGTTGACAAGCTCAGCAACCAAGGCAAACGCAGCAGTGGACTCAAAGGAAGGGTCACTAACAACAGTAGCTAAGAGTTGCGTGACAGTAGGACTGGCAGCACGAAGGGAGTCAGACTCCGGGTCAGCAAGGGCAGGAAGAGAGGACTCTGGAGGAGACGGCAAGGGGACACGTTGTGGAGCAATGGAGGGACGCAGTGCCATCTGGTGCGTGCCCGAGACCGCAGGAGGACGCTGACGCGGAACACGATGACCAGTGCGAGCAGCATGAACAGGCAACGTAGGACGAGACCCAGGCTCACGACGCTCAGCAAGACCTCCAGTAGGGCCAGTGTTGGGAGAAGGAGCAGGTAGTGGGGAGGCGGGCTGTATCTGTGACTCGGAATGGACAGGCGGTGGACAATTTAAGGGAGGAGCAGGACCAGTAGAGGGCGAAAGACCAAGAACCTGCTCAAGGAGCGGAACGAAGTACGGCCGTGACCGCGCAGCACCTCCAGAACCAGCAGGGACAGCACCAGCACCCCCAGCGTCTGTCAGAACATTATAGCTTACTCTTTTCTGTAGGCTATAGTGGGGTATCCCATAGGGGGTACAACCCAATTAGGGTTTCATATTTTTGCTCAGTTCATTTGATAGTGCATTCATTCTCGTTCAGTTTTCCACATGGTATCGAGCAGGTTCCCCTGTGGGAACTGTGCCCAGGGCCCACCACTCGAAATTTTTTTTTCCTGCCCGAAGCGCACTCATCCCGAGTCGCGCCTCGGGCCACTCCTTCCCGGAGCCGCCCTAGCGGCCGGCCTTACCCTCGCGGCCCCGCCACCCAGTGAACGCGGCCCCGCCGCCTCTTCTCTCGCGGCCCCGCCGCCCCAGCGTTCGCGGCCCCCCCGCCGTCCCTGATCTCGCGGCCCCGCCGCCCCAGCGCTCCCGGCCCTGCCGCCCCTGATACGCGGCCCCGCCGCCCAAGCGCTCGCGGACCCCCCCGCCGTCTCTGATCTCGCGGCCCCGCCGCCCCTGCGCTCCCGGCCCCACCGCCCCTGATACGCGGCCCCGCCGCCCCAGCGCTCGCGGCCCCGCCGTCCCTGATCTCACGGCCCCGCCGCCCCAGCGCTCACGGCCCCGCCGCCCCTGATCTCGCGGCCCCGCCGCCCCAGCGCTCCCGGCCCCGCCGTCCTTGTTACGCGGCCCCGCCGCCCCAGCGCTAGGCCCCGTCGCCCCTGTTACACGGCCCCGCCGTCCCAGCGCTCCCGGCCCCGCCGCCCCTGATACGCGGCCTCGCCGTCCCTGATCTCACGGCCCCGCCGCCCCTTGCTCTCGCGCCGCCCAACTGCAGCAGCCGAGCCGCCCGACCGCCGAGCAGCAGTGCAGCCGAGCCGCCCTTGCACCCGAGCCGCCTGGCAGCCGAGCCGCCCTACCGCCGAGCCACCTGGGAGCCGAGCCGCCCGGGAGCCGAGTTGCTGAGTAGCCGAGCCGCCTTTTCTACCGAGTCGCCCGACCTGCCCTGCCCGGTGAGCACTGTACCGCTGTCACTGCGTGCCCTTCCCCTACTGCTTGCACTGCTTCACTGTCGTCGTCATGGCTACCCCTAGTGTCCTCGCTTTTGACGCTGAGGGTCGAGCCGTAGACTTCGAGGTCTGGCTAGACGACCTGCAGCTGTTTTTACAGTGCGATAGGGCGGACGGTCTGTCTCTCTTTGACCTCACCTCTGGCGCCGTCCCTTCCCCTGCTGCTGATGCTGACGCCACTGTTCGCTCGCAGTGGGCCACGCGCGATGCTTCTGCACGTCTTGCTGTGCGTCGCCACTTGCCTACCGCTGAGCGCGCGCACTTTAGCAAGTACAAGAGTGCTCAGACCTTGTACGACGCTGTAGTTGCGCGCTACTCCTCCCCTGCCACTGCTGCACTGAGCCGCCTCATGCTCCCCTTCCTCTTCCCTGACCTTGCCGCCTTTCCCACTGTCGCTGATCTTATCACGCACCTCCGCACTAGTGACACTCGCTACCGCGCTGCGCTTCCTGCTGAAATTTGCGCCAAGAACCCCCCCCCCATGTACATCACTCTCTACTTCTTAGTCACTCGCCTCCCTGACTCCCTTCGTGTAGTCCGAGACCACTTCCTCGCAGTCAGTCCTACCACCCTCACAGTCGACAGCCTAGAGAAGGCCCTCCTTGCGGCAGAGAAGAGCATAGTCGCTGTAGGTGCCTCTCGAGGTGACCCCCGCGCCCCCATCTTTGAGGGGTGTTCTCCTTCCCCTCTCCTGCCCTCTGTCGCCTCTGCCGCTGCGGCCGACCTCGTTGGCCTTGAGTCGGTCGGTGTGGCGTCTGCCCCT